GCAGAGTCACCAGCTCCAGCCCCTCCCGCAGCAGGGCCCCTAGCTCCAGCAGCGCGACCCTGACAGCCAACGTACCACTCAAGCAGCTGCTGTGGGGAGAGAGGGAGTCGACGACGAGAGTGCAGCGGCGAGGCACCAGCGGAGCGACTACGGAGACGGCCGCTCCCGGGAGACTGCTCACCAGACGCCTCAGCGCCCCCAGGCTCAGCACCCCCAGACTCCTCACGCCCAGGCTCAGCACCTCCAGTCTCCGCACCCCCAGGCTCCGCACCTCCAGGCTCCACACCCCCAGGCTCAGCACCCCCAGGCTCCGCACCCCCAGGCTCCGCACCCCCAGGCTCAGCACCCCCAGAAGCAGCACCCCGAGCAGGACCACCCTCAGCAGGACCTGAGTCACCAGTGACCTCAACCGGCGCAGTCAAAGGAGGAGGGTCTACCTGAGACACACCTGAAGGAGCAGGACCGGGAGCGGGGAGGGGGTCTACCTGGGGAGCACCTAGAGCGAGGAAGAGCGGCGGGGGGGGGAGAGGGGCAGTGCGGTAGGGGAAGAGACGGTAAAAGGGAACCGACTCGTCGAACGTGACGTCCTGAGAGGGGAAGACACGGCGCAAGGTGGGGTGGTAAAACTGCCAACCAGGCGCGTCAGGGACAAAGCCAGGGAAGACACAGCGAACAGCGCGGGCGGAGAGCTTGTCCGCGGTGGTATCGCGGACAAAGGCACGAGCACCCCAGACCCGGAAACGCGACGCATCGCCAACCTTCCCCGTCCACAGCAGTGTGGGCGAGGTCTCCGGCAAGGAGACACGGGGCCAGAGGTTGAGCTGATGCGCGGCGTACCGGACCGCAAACGGCCATAGAAAATGGGGCGCAGCCGCATGGATCATGGAGGTACGAGCGACCTCCATGACTAAGCCAATGCGGCGCTCAGCAACCCCATTCTGCTGCGGAGAGGCCGGAAGCGTGAACGTCTGGCGGATGCCGTGCTCCGCACAGAAGGCTGCCAAGAGGTCGGAGGAAAACTCCCCACCTCTGTCAGAGTGCAGACGCAGGACGGGAAAGTCCGACTGGAACCGCTCGCGGAGCTGGAGACGAGGAGCGCGGATCCAAGGGATCAAAACATCAGGGACCTCACCCTTGGTGCGCAAGGGGAAGACCGTGGTGTATCGCGTGTAGTCGTCGACGACCAGCAGGAAGTACCGCTCGTGGCCCTGTCCACGGACGCGGGCTGGGCCCCACACGTCCAGGTGGAGAGTCTGCAGGGGAGCCTCTGTGGGAGGGAACGAGGAGGAGTGAGGAGCGGCGCACTGCCGCCCCTCGACACAGGGAAGACAGGGAGGAGCAGGCGAGGGTGGGAGGGGAGGGAGAACCCTGGGAAGACCAGAGACAAGGACACGGCGGTGCATGCTGCGAAGGCGCTGCACCGAGGGGTGACCAAGGCGGTGGTGCCAAAGGAGGGTCTGGTGCGAAAAGGCGCGACACGAGCAGGGGGCCGACAACTGACCTGACGCAGACGCAGACGCAGCTACCTGAGGGGACTCAGTGGTCAGTGTGTACAGGCCCGACCATGGCTGCCGAGTGAAGGTAGCCAGGTGACGACCCGTCTGAGCACACGTGCAATGTGTCACACGCTCGTAGGCAGGGGTGAACTGGTGAACACCTGCGTCCTGGAGCGCAGAACCCGCCACCAAGTTCGTAGAGAACGAGGGGAGGTAAAGACCCGACAGTGTGCCGGACGGGAAAGCAGGACAAGGGAGGACAGTGGAGGAGGTCGCACGGACTGGACCCCCAGAGGGGTCTGCCAGGGAGACTGGAACTGGCCGACTGAGCGGCGTGAGGGTGGTGCTGTCGCGAAAGAAGGAGCGAGAAGCATCAGAGTCAAGTGTGAAGGTGTACAAGGCCTCAGCAGGCGCAGTACCAGAGAGAGCAGACTCACCAGCACCTGGAGCAGCAGCCTCACCAGCACCCAGAGCAGGAGACGCACCAGCACCTAGAGCAGCAGCCTCACCAGCACCTAGAGCAGGAGACGCTATACCTGGGTCAGGCGGTACGCACAGGTAACAGGCACGGTCAGCACTAGTAGGCAATGCATACATGGCAGTGAGAATAGCATCAAAGTCAAGAGCAAATATATCTACCCTCTGCCCAAGCAGCTCCACCCAGTCGGGGAGCTCAGCCGCGTCGCCAAACTCGGTACGCCAGGCGTCGCTCAGACGGGCGAAGCAGACAGTAGGCAGCAGACAGACGGCGCGCGCAGCGCAGCACGTCACAGGCACAGTCACAGTTACAGTCGTGGGGTAGCGGTAGGTGGACCCGAAAAAAAAAAAAAAAACGGTCCTACGGACCTACTGCTCTGATACCATGTTATAATCTAGAGACAGGAATGATTGAACTATGCAAGAGTTGGGTACAAGTATGAAACCCTAAAAGGGGCTGTACCCCATATTGGCTACCCCACTACAGCCTGCACATATATGACATGCATATACTTTGACAGAAGTGCTTCGTTGCTGAGACAGGGAGTCTTGGGTGTTGAGCCATTTGTGTCGAGGGAGAAGGTGTGCGGGGCGGAGTTTTGGCCATTCGAGGCCGGTTGAGTGGGTTGGGAAGATGTTCCCGCGTCGCCATTCCGCAATGTTTGGAGCCCTTGCTCCAGACTCGTGAGTCGCTGAAGCAGTTGTACGAGGATGGCGGAAGGGATTGTCGTCATCTCCTCGCTTGTCGCAATCGGATTGGGCTGCGCTTCAGCCGTCAGATTCGTCTGACCTCCAGATCCTCCGGCCATTCTCACACGTGAGTGTGTGCCGGACGCCACTTTCCGTTTGCCGAGAGTTTCGGAGGTGGCAGTGCGAAGGATTCTCGAGTCGCTCTGATATCATGCTGCGATCAGAAGTTGATCTACCTCAGGATCACCTCAGGAAGGTTCGCACACTTCTAGTCTAGTGGTGGTGGGCCCTTGACCTCAATAGCAGAGTGAATGTAAATGCTTGAGATAATAAAAACATGCAGTACAAGGAATATAAATAAGAGTACAGGGGAATTCGAATCGACCTAGCTAGCCATGTACTCTAAGGGGTACATTCCCTTATTGCAGCGAAATCCAACCGTGCGACTCCGGGTGGTTACTATTAGAATGGACTAAGCTACTAGCGGAAGCTTTAGTAGTCTTAGAACCTCCTCCTAAAGCCTAGGAATCTTAGGAGCTCACTTGGGCATGAACCATGCTAGAACCAAAGTGGTTTCCAAGAAGTGAAGTTCCAACAAGAGAGAACCCTAACCTATAGGGTTTGGGAGGTGGTCCACTCTATAGAGTGTACACCACAAGTTCTCCCAACCCAACCAATGTATTCTACACTACTATAGTGTAGATGTATCACTACATATGTTTATTGGAGCAACCCAAATTAACCTTAATTCCAACACCCCCCTTGCTCCAATAAGCATTAAAGTTCACCCATAAATCAAAACACAACCCCTCCAGCGAATGAAGCCTTGGCCTTCGCAGCCATCACTCGCATGCCGATGCGCTCCAGGTTCTCATGCAGCTGCAAGCTTGGAAGAGCTTTGGTGAGCATGTCGGCATCCTGGAGGTGGGAACGTACTGAGTGCACCTCGACCTCCTGCTGGCGCACCGCATCCCGTACAAAGTGCCATGCCACCTTAATGTGCTTGGTGCGCTGATGGAGAACGGGATTGTGGGCAAGGGAGACAGCAGCTTCATTATCACAGAGCAATGGAATAGCCCCCCCATCCCCTACATGCATCTCTGCCAACAAACTCCTCAACCAAATGGCCTCCTTGGCCCCCTCCGATAGAGCTTTGTACTCAGCTTCAGAAACGCTTGCTGCGACACTGTCTTGTTTTTTGTTATACCAGCTGATTGCTCCTCCTCCCAGTTAAAGATGTAGGCAGAGCGACTCTTGCCATCAGTCTCACCACCCCAATCCGAGTCTGTGTACCCAACAACCTGCTCACCACCTTGGCGCTCATACCTGATGACATGATCAGCTGTGTCGACCAAGTACCTGAGTGCTCTCAGTGCAGCGCGCATGTGAATGCGTCTTGGTGCCACGCAGGACTGTGCAAGGGTGTTGACAGTGAAAGACATGTCAGGACGGGTGGTCACAGCAGCATACATCAAGCTGCCAATGAGACTCTGGTACACCTTGACATCAGTTGCAACACCTTCCTTAGGTGACCAAGTACCGTTTCTGATCTTAGAGAGATCATTGGGTGACACTGGAGTATGCACCCTATGGGTCTCCTTCAGCAGATCACCAAACCTTCCCTGGAGACCACGGACATACTTCTCCTGACCAATCTCCAACCACCCATCCTTGACCGACCTGCGAACCTCCACACCAAGGTACGTGGATACCTCACCTAGATCCTTCATCTGGTACCTCTGAGCAAGCACCTCCTTGACCTGACCGATCAGCTCCAAGCGTGGAGACACAAGCAAGAGGTCATCCACATACACCAATGCATACACTGGCTCTTCATCCACAAACCTGATGTACAGAGCCTCATCACATGCACTGCGGTCAAACCCTGCTGCAATCAGGGTGGTACCAATCTCCTCATTCCAAGCACGAGACGCTTGCTTGAGCCCATAGAGAGCTTTGCGCAAGCGATACACCCTACCTGTACCATCATCAAATCCCTCAGGTAGCCTCACATACACCTCCTCTTGAAGGACTGCATTGAGGTAAGCATGATCAACATCCTCTTGTTGTACATGCCACCCTTTTACCGCGGCTTCTGCAAGAAGCACCCGACCTGAGGTGAGCTTGCCCACAGGGGCAAATACCTGATCATAGTCCTTCTCGGGCTCCTGAGTGTACCCCTTAGCAACAAGGCGAACCTTGTGCTGTACCACCTTATCCTCCTTGTCAGTTTTCCTGCGGAAAACGTACCTGACCCCAATGGCCTTCTTACCTGGAGGTAAGTCGACCGGCTCTGGATCCCATACACCCATAGTGCACATTGCATTTACCTCCTTCTCAGTGCCTGCCTTCCACGCAGGGCCCTCAGGGCCACGCAGGGCCTCAGCGAGTATGCGTGGGACATCACCGGTGCTCACACCTGCCAGTGCAACACCTTCCACCTCCCTGGCCAAACACAGCATGCCCTCAACCACACCAGCATCCCCCCCTACCTCCTCACCACATGTACCAGACTGGATACCAAGCACCTGCAAACCCGTAACCGGTGGTGGGGAGGTAGTCGCTGGTGACGGAGGGGCACCCGTAGAGAGAGGGACAGAGCGCTGACCAGAGGAGGAGGAAGAGGAAGTAGCCTGTGTAGCGGATCTCCGCTGAATGACCGAGGGGCCACTGAGCTGCTGCAGAGGGGTGGGCAGCTGCTGCACCGACACACTCAGCGGTGCCGGTGGCAGTGATAAAGGTGGCATCTCAACGTCGTCAGCCGTTGCAGAGGGTGGCGAGAGTGGAAGAGGGAGGAGTTGGGAAATTGCAGCTGCATCCTGCAGAAGCTCCCCAAATCCCTTTGCCTTGTCCCAATCCTTCCACATCGCATTCTCAAGAAAATCAACATCCCGAGCAATGCGAATGCGCATGAGAGAAGGGTCCAGCATGCGCCAACCCTTGCTCTCCATGTCCACCCCAACACAGACACACATGACAGCCCGTGCATCAAGCTTGCCACCCTTCTCATGCCCATGCAGCATGACACTCCCCATGCAACCCCAAATCCGAGCCATGCCCACATGCGGCTTCTGGCCAGACCACGCCTCCATTGGTGTGATGGAGGTAGGCAAAGCACTGTGGGTGACCCTGTTCTTAACCCACACGACCCACATCAATGCTTCACCCCACAAGCGAGCAGGGAGACCACTGTCGACCAACAATGTGCGAATCCCCTCTGCCATCGTCCTGTGCCACCTCTCCACGACCCCATTCTGTTGCGGTGTATCTGCGACGCTCAATTGAGTTTTAATGCCAAACTCCGCCTTCCATGCTTTTACAGCTTCCCCCAAGAACTCGCCACCCCTGTCCGAGCGAACAGCCTTCAGCTTCCGCCCACACTTCAACTCCACGTCCTTATGCCATTGGCGAAGGACTTTTGCAACTGTGGCCGATTCCTTGTTGGGGAGGGGGAACGACCAAACTCGTCTGGTGAAGTCGTCAATGAGACTGAGGACATACACCGCTCCTCCAAGTGACGGTGTGCGCACTGGCCCCCACAAATCCATGTGGACCTCATCCAAAGGCCCAAGTGCCCGAGACGCCTCGTGGGGAAACGGCTTCCGAGCCGACTTTCCCAATAAGCAAGGCTCACATGGGGAGCAATCAGTGCTCCCCCCCTAATCTCCAAGCCCAGTACACTGTTCCCCCGAGCCATCTGTTGCAATGTTGTGGGGGCGGTATGACCAAGGCGGGGATGGGCAAGGGTCAATGGGGAAAATGAGGAGGAGGACCCAGCTGCAAGAGCACTGCCTTGTGTGCCCCGAGCAAGAGGAAGAAACATCCGCACCAATCCATGGTCCCTTCCCCTCTCCTTTTCTCCAATCGCCAACACCCGCTCCCCCCGTTGAAGGACACATTTCTTGCCCTTGAATGTGACAATGACATCTCGAGAGGTGAGGTGTGGGACTGACAGCAGACGCGTGTGCATCTCAGGCACAAGGTGGACCTTTTGAATCCTCAGCAGCTGACCTCCAGCACCAACCACTGGCACCTCACCCATGCCAACAGCTTTCACCACCCGTCCATCTCCCAATCTAACTCCCCGAACCTCTGGTGGCTGAAGCTTACTTTTGAAGTCTGACGCATAAGGAGTAAAGTTGTGGCTGGCCCCACTGTCAATCCACCACCCCTCTCGCTGCTCCTCTCCCACTGCTGCAACTGCCTCTCCAACCACTGCCTCTGCCTTGTCATCCTGCTCCTCCTCATCCGCCACCTGTGCCTTGCCGTTGGACCCACGACCCCCCCGCTTTAAGAATGCCGGAATGCCTCCCTTAGGTCGATGAGGACATCGCTGACATGCATGTCCCTCATCCCAACAGCCATGACACAACCCCCGAGGAGCCATGCCCTTGGACCCCCAGGGGAAATCAAGCACTCCCACTTTGCCTTTCCCTTGACCCCATCTGCCCGAGTTGGTGTCACTGCTGCTACCGCTGCCTCCATGCTTTCCTCCCTTGTCCCAATTTCCCCTGCCGCTGCTGCCCACTTTCGTACCCGCTCCAAAGGTGGCTACACCATCCGATCTTGGTGCGACACCAATCCGCATCTCCTCGCTCCTCAAGGAGGTAAGCAGCTGATCCTTAGTGAGTGATGATGACTGGTTGTTCAGCACCACCTTCAGCATCTCAAAGTGAGGAGGTAGTCCTTTGAGTACCCTCATCATCCACTCCTCAACCTCCTCCTTTCCTCCTGCAGCCAAGTACTTAGACCTCAAGTCCTCGGCACGCGCCCAGTATGCAGCCACCCCCTCCCCCTCTTTCATCTTCAATGAAGAGAGCTCCTCCGAGAGTGCCATCCGGTTACACAATCCACGCTGAAGGTAGAACTCCTTCACTCGTATGTATGCCGCTGCTGTGCCTGCAGGAATTCGGGTGACTGCTCTTGCTCCGCCATCAACAGGTGCGCTGCCCAACTCGGTCTTGCCGCCGAACTCCCGTACCAAGCGAATCAGCTCATCTGGCACCAAGGCATTGCAAAATTGGGCGAATGCCTTCTGATTTTTCCTCTCCCACTTCAGCCGTGCGTCACCCGTTGCAGGTCGCTCCTCCGAGCCGTCAAAGTACCCCCATAGATCGTGCGCCGCTGCCCATTGTTCGAATCGGAAGCTCCAAGTCCAATAGTCGCTCCCATCAAACTTTGACGCACTCTCCAGCTTCCCTTCGCCTGAGTCGTGATCCATTTGTGGCGCAGGCACTGAAGATTGACGTTGAGGTGGTGGTGGAGGCAACGGCGGTGGCGGTGAAGACGATGCGGGCAGATTCACCCCCTCTTGGTTTTTGGAGCGTAACTCCGCGCTCGAACTTCCGAATGATGAGCCGTTAGATTCTGATGAATCCTCGCTTCGAGCCCGTTCGAATGATGTATCGCGCTCCGGGATCCCACGTCCGAGCTGTCCGCTTAAACTTGTCGAAGTTGGCCGAGTTTCCGTCGACGAAGACTCAACCGTGTCGCCCGATTTTTGGCTTGTTGGATGCGCCCTGGTGTCCTCTCTTGGCGCTCGCCCTCCAATTTCTTTTCCGCGCTTTAAATCGTCCCCGATTTGCAATTTTCCAATTCGGCCCCCGGCAGTTTTTCGCGAATTGCGTCCGATCCGCTCGTCGATTGGTGACGACCTCGAGGCAATTGTTGTAGATCGTGCTGAGACCTTTCCAACGGTGTGCTGCACGTCTTGATCGGCCAAAGTTGACTGAGCGCCTCTGTGAATGGATGTCGCTCTTCTCGTCCTCCCGAACGGATCCACACGATTTCCAGCAGTTTTCTTCTCTCCTCCTCCCTTCCCACGTCCAGAGTCCGCCACGGTGCAATTTAGGCAGCCCTTCGGGAGGGATGGAAGCTAAATAGCTTCCACCAAGATATTATGGTCCGATGTCTTGAGTAACTCCTATTCCAACAGATTGCTAGGCCTTCCTAGCTCGGATACCATATTAGAATGGACTAAGCTACTAGCGGAAGCTTTAGTAGTCTTAGAACTTCCTCCTAAAGCCTAGGAATCTTAGGAGCCCACTTGGGCATGAACCATGCTAGAACCAAAGTGGTTTCCAAGAAGTGAAGTTCCAACAAGAGAGAACCCTAACCTATAGGGTTTGGGAGGTGGTCCACTCTATAGAGTGTACACCACAAGTTCTCCCAACCCAACCAATGTATTCTACACTACTATAGTGTAGATGTATCACTACATATGTTTATTGGAGCAACCCAAATTAACCTTAATTCCAACAGTTACGAAACTGTTCGGGCAGAATCCTCGCCACTGCTGCTGCCTGATGCTGTCTGCCCGACGGTCCAGATGCTGTCGTAACCGTGCGACCTTTCGTGTTACTTCCGCCCTTTCGACTTCAACCTCGGTAGTGCGTGCTTCGCTTGCTGCGGTGAGGAGTGCATAGTGACGTTTCAATAATTACTATTCGTAACAGAGCGGATATATGCGCCATATGCCAATTACAAGCGCCTGGCGCTTATCCCAGGGTGGCGCTTATACCGGTATCCAAGGGGTGACGGTCAGGGCCCATTTTATCAGTGTAAATCACCCTGATGCCCTGACTAGAAGGGTGATTTTTGGTAGTAACACTGATGCTGTTGGGTAATTTTTTCGGGACCTTGATTTACCCTGATGTGCCAGGTTTTAAGATTAAGGAACACTGTCGCCTCAGGGTTGCCGTTCCGCTTATCGAGGTTTACCCTGAAGCGCGTACCAGCGAACCCCCGCCCCCCCCCCCCCCCCCCCCCCCGTCCCCTAACCACCCGACCCCGAAACCTGGATTTTCCTTTTGCCAACTGTCGAAAATGTAGATTTCGGCAGGACTTTGTGTGTGCTGGAATGAGGTGGTCCACCATTGGCCAGAAATGTTATTGTGATGATAATGTCTGATGATGATGATTACGGTAACCTTGTTATTGTGTGCTGTATTAATAACAACTGAAGCAGGGTTTTGCGAATTGGTACACTGATGCCTCAGGGTAGTCTTTTTAATACATGCAAAAACCCTGACGCATCAGGATTTCCACAACGGGTAACCCTGAAAATCAGGTTTTTGAACAGGTGCAGGCCCTCAGATTCACTTTTTGGGACGTTGATGCATCAGGGTCCCTGTGAAAAAAAGGCTGATTTTCAGTGTTACTACAAAAAAAAAGCCTGATTTTCCAGGGTTCTCAAAAAAAGAACACTGATTATTTTCCACAAGATATCCTCAAAAAAACACTGCTGTGCCAGCCTAGGGAATCGAACCTCGAACTTTCACCTTCGACAGCGAATTCACTAACAACTAAGACACTCGAAGACTTTCTATATCAGTTTGCAGTTTTTTGGACACCTATTTGAGCGCTGGTCACCTCGGGCGTTTTTCAGGAAGGAGTCCGAATGTGCATTCAGTGTCAACTTCGATAAAAGACTGAACACCCAGTGTTCACTACGAAATGAAGGCTGAAAAATCAGCCTCACAAAAATCTACAGACTGAAATATCAGGGTAGGTACACAAAATTAGGCTGAAAATCAGGAATTTCAGGGAAAAAATCCTGATATCGTAGGGCCTGAACAGATGCTAGACTGATCGTAAGGGTTGGTCAAAACCAAAAATTAGCCCTGGTGACGGTATCGCGATACATCCATTTTTTGTGACGCGAGGTTGACAAAATGTTTCGACGCGACTCGGGAAAAAGGGGATTGAGACGTTTGTGTCGACTCAAGAATGTACCTTTAGTTATCTACGCTGGGGCTATGGCTGCTCAGGAGTTACGCTGGCTGACCTACCTGCTGACAGACTTGGGTGAGCGGCCTCATTCTCCTCCGGTTGTGTACGTCGACAACAAGGCTACGATTGCTTTGTGGCGGGAGTAGAGACTGGAGCACAGAACGAAGCACATTGCTTTCCGCCTTGACAATTCACAACTTCGGCGCCAGGCCTGTCGCGCACCACATTCTCGCACATTACCGTTAGCATGCTAGGCTTCGCTATATATTATTCGCTCATTCCTTCGCTCATTGTATTCTTGCCTCGATCGTGCTTACCTTGTTCGCTCACTTCACTCGTAGCACAAAGCAAAATTCAACCTTTCTTGCATAGTGGTACAAGATTACAACATCTCGCTAACCTTACTCAGGTTGGTGACAGGCAAAATACATTAGCCAGCCACTATCTCTGCAAGAAAAAAACCACCCCAATTTGCCATGAAATATCTAGCAAAATCCAACCATGCTCTACACAGTTCACAGCACCCTGACCACTAATGGAACCAGCCCTGCTCTACTCGCCACCATCCACAAACTCCACTTCTCCACACCACCACTCCTCATTTCTTCCTTCACCCCCCCCCCTCTCCTCTCCTCTCATTTCCTGTCACTTCCCCAACCCACTCGGTCCCTTCATCCATTTCTTGATGAAAGACGAAGGGGACTTGGTGGGATCCCTGTTGGCCTCTATCATAGCAGCCTGACTGGACAGCAGCTTGCCAGACCCTCCCCCTCCACTGCCACTCCCATTCCCGCCCATACCATCCTCGAAACTGCCTACAATCCCTTCAGTGCTTCCCCCTCTGCGGCGTGTCATAAGCGCACCACTGGCTGCACTTTCAGGAGATCCGCCCCCTCCATCCGCACCTCGAGCCGCGGTCTCGCCTCCCAGCTTCTCTCCGCGCGCCTTATCAGACTCAGTCTTCAGCACCTCTCCTGCTTTTGAGGAGCCGGAAAGCTTGTCAACAGTAGCTGCAGACAGGCCTAGGCCTGATCGAGCCATGGGTGGGTCAACCTTGACAGTTACCGATGCATCCTCGTCCTCCTCATCATCCTCCTCACACTCGTCAGGCGCGGCTACCGCCCACAGATGGGCCGCGTGGAGGAGTCTGGCCGAGGGGTAGAAAGGCGGGGTGGCGGGAGAGGGAATTATGGATTTCGTTACAAAGTGTTTATGAGCTACACAACCAGTGTCACCATCCGGAAACGATGTCTTGTGACTTAGAACAAGGATATCCTCGACCCAAACATGTTATACCCATACGAGAATGGAAGTCCTAAATGTGTATCAATCCATTTCATCTGTATCAGTTCGCTCTTTCACCTTATACCTGTTTACCGTTGTGAGTGAAGCTATTGACGCTAAGGCAAATTTCGAGAAACATGAGACAAAGAAGCTTCTAATATATGTAGCCAATGAAGGTGAGAAACCCGACGCCAACCTGGTGAGCAGAATTTTTCCCAGAACGCGCGAGAAAGAACCTATTAACTGCATAAAAATATATAGTATAAATAAATCGGGGATAAAGTGATCTCACTCGGCGGATTCTCACCTTTCCCTGATAGCGTCGAGCTCGGAATAATCCATGGACTGTCGCCGTCCACTCATCGACACGCGCCCGACACTCGACCGCCTCCGCCTTCCCGCAGCACCCGTGGCTGCCGCTGCGTCGGCAGCCATGGATACGCCCTGACCCAGCAGGTCGCCTTGAAACGCGGACGCGCCACCCGCACCTGCTCCTGCGCCCGCGCCGAAACCCGCGCCTGGCGCAGCAGAAGGGGAGGCCGCGGTCGAGTGGCGGCGATACTTGCGCCCTGCTCCCGCCACCCAATCGTTAAAGCTCTCCGGAGGAGATTTCATTGACGCGCCGCTGACTGCGGCGGCGATGGCGGAAACCGCTGCTGCCGAGGCGGCTGCTGCTGCTGCGACATCAGGGTCAACAAAAGTCGTTCCCTCGTCGGCGGCGGGTACGAGCGAACGGAATCGGGGAGCGGCGCTTTGGGATTTGGGGAGTTTCACGGTTGGTGGCAGCGGTTGCTGCTGTTGCGCGGCGAGGGACGTCACTGGCGGGTCCGCCGCAGCGGCAGTTGCACCGGTTGCGGCGGTAGCTGCGCCTGAAATTGACGAATCATCGGCGGAAGTGTCTGGTAGCTTGTGCGCCGCGCCGTTACTTGCGGTAGCTGCGCGCGGAGGGGAGGTTCCGCGGGGCAACTCCGCGGCGGCGTCGGCGGGCGGAGCGAGCGGAGAAGACGAAACGTCAGCTCCCGCAGATACGGGAGCGGAGGCGGCGGCGGCGGTGGTGGCGACGACGGGTGGGGAAGCCGCCTTAACGGTGGCCGCGTTCAGGCGCGGGTCTTTGCCCACCGACGTGGAAGCTAGGTACGACAGGAGCCAATTATCCTCATCCTCGAATACCGTCTGCATGTTCCTAGCAGAACCAGCGGCGATTCCGACGCTCCTTAGCGGCACGTGCTGCTTTGATAGGGTGGAGCCAAGGTGGTGAGAGACGGGTGCGTGGACGGCGGCTGTCGACGGCATAAGGTGCGGTGGGGAGATAAACTAGCGGGTAATAGAGATAAACGGAGGATAGGTCAGCGAATTGGCGGAGGTTGAGAAATTGGTAAACAAATGGACCGAGAACCGTTGCTTTTGAGTGGGGAAGGAAGGGAGAAGACGGAGAATGCAGACAGAGACCTGCAAGACATGCACTACACGAGACAGCTTGGAATGTGTTCTGATGGCTCCCTAAGAAGAGATTTAAAGAACGTAACGTGCTGACTGACAGTGGTGCAAATGTTGCGATGCTTCCCGAAAAGGAGGTGGAATAAATCGTAACCACAAGACTGGGGCGCAGAAACCCAAGAGTCCAGCCAGAGACCAGTGGAAAAATCTTTCTGCTTGAAATGACTCGCGCAATCTTGCAAGGCAGGCGGTGATTGACGACGATGCCGATGGTTCTTGTTGCGTCAATTAGCTGCATACGCCTGCTTGCTGCAGCTTCTGGTGTGGTATCTGCTGTTACGCAGCTTGGTCCTTACGGACTTACACAGTGCTCCTGTTTTTCCTGCCTGGTGGGCCAAATAGCATGCGGTTTGATGACTTTTAAATCGGTTCGGTGCGGTGTAGTGCGAGAACGAGAAGAACTGCAAGGAAGGTGGAGGAGCGCACCACAAGCACACTGAAGGACGACGACAAACGACAGTGGACAGTGGTCGCATTCTGAACTTTGCGATGAGGAACGGCCAGCCGAGTTTGAGCTGGCGAGAATCGTTCGTTCGTTTCGCCTTTCCCAATCTCTTCGCTGAATTCTGCCATCGGGGGAAAACAAGCGCGCTCTGAGTCAGAAGAAAATCTGATTGCACCAGATCTTCCACTGTTTGGTTCTCCAGCAAGGATCACGACCCCACCTGCCAGTCCCGCGCAGCGTTTCACTGAGCTGGATGGCAAGTGCGGATGTTGCGGATGAACTCTGCTCTGATCTGGTGGCTAGGTGGCAGGGAAGTGGGGAAAGAAGCAGCCATGTGGGATGGAAAAGGAGTCAGTCAGTTGGCGCGGGTGCGCCGCGTAGGCCATGCGCAAGGAGGCGCAGGTCCATCCATGGCTACCCTGCCTGCCTTCAGTAATCACCAAATGCTTGACGACCGTTGATCGAGGCAGGCGGAGCGAGGCAGCCAGTTGGTTTGGTCGGGTCTGGAACCCACAGTGTAGAGAAATCCTGCACTGAGGTATGCCACGTCATGAAGATCGAAACATGAGGGGCAAATGCATCTTCCTGTGGACCCAGCTCACAATTTCGGCCACGACATCAATCACTGGTTCATAACGATCGACTCCTCCACTCAAGATGAAGCATCTCCGCCACGTGGACGGCGCTCGCGTTGCCAAGTTGTGGCCCTACTGTCCGTGAGAGTCGTAATGGTCAGTGGCTGGCAAACATGAAGGTTTTGGTGTCGCCACGCCACTGATATCATGAAGGTTTGTTGAGTTGCATCGATAAACACATTGGCTTGTAAAAACAGAGGTAATGTGTACATACCTACCTTGCATATGTTAGATTTTAGGCATTTAAGGATCCTGCACTGATCACGGTACCAATTTTCACCCGTTAGGAACCATTTTTGCAATGCACGTCAATTTTCCCTAACTTCCTTATACGTCTGAGCTGAATTGACCCTACACTTCAATGACACACCTGAAACGCTACTTTAGCAAGTCCCGCAAAAGTGATATACGGTATGTTATTCAGTGTTGCACGTCAGAATTTCAAAGCATACATTGTTTCGTATCTCTTATTGGTTTTTAGTGCAATCTCCACTCGCTCGTTCGATAACACACATAACTGTTAGGTTTCACGGCCTACTAGATCCTCTCAAGATTAAAGAATTCTTCATTTGCCCTCTGCGCACCGATCTGATTGGCACATGCGTGTATGCATTGACCAATACTACAAATATTCATTTTTATGAATGAAGTAGCATGATGTGTATTTTAATCAGCCATCTCTTTTATTAGCGACAGTTGTTGGGTCAGAGGGTTAGGCCTGAGCACATGACATTGTTTCCACACCCAATCACAGTATGCCCAATACCCACGTCATCGTTCACGCGGATATTCAGTGCCATCGACAACCGTTGGATCACGATCTTGATTCCTTCCCGCCATTCTGCCAAGACTCAAATGGGGGTTTCCCTGAGCATCCTTTTTTTTACCAGGTAATTCTACGTGGAGCTCTTCTCGCAAAATAGAAGCCAGTCTCAAGAAGTGGAGAAGGAGAGGGATGAGTATGCGGGTACAGCGTAGGACCCTGGATACGAGAGATTCAGGCGTGAAGACTAGGTTCTGATTCCCCCTAATTCTGAAAACCAAAGGAAGGCAGCTTCATGCCAAAAGAAGCCGGTGCATTGCAACTCACTCCCAAAATATACCGAAGGTGTGCTTTGCAAATACCCACATTCTCTACAGTCGATTCGCACAGCCGCCAGTATTCCTATTTGTGTAAGTGGATAATCCTAGGCTCGGCATTTCCAAACCAATCCCGAAGCAAGCGCCAAACCAACATCCAACGGACACATCCCCTCCAACGGACCTAGCGAGCAAGCAGTCACACGCTCACGGATATGCTCTGAATATCTGATCCGAGGGGAGAAAGGCCAACCTACCGGTACCCTACCCATTTCCCGAACCACTATCACGCACACACTCACCCACCCACACACTCCAAGTTACCAAGCACGTGCTGTTATGTTCCTTCCTACCCAGAACAGAACTCGGTCCATTGAATAGGCTTGATCGTCCGTCCTCTGACAAGACACGCTGCGCATTTGCTTCCGTCCTGCGTTGATCCATGGCGGATTGCGGAGCATTAGCTCTGCTTTCTCGTTGAGCAATGAGTGCGACTAGTGTGACCAACGCAACCCTGGGAGGACTCCAAGGCCGACAGGCAAGACCGTGGCAAGCCTAACGCAGCAGCATATCTTACGACTTCGACACCATTAACGGGTTGGAGAGTTGGATATAGCTGACAGAGTTCATTCAGCTCAAGTATTGCCGGCCTGGTTGATGTCGTAGCACGACGGGAGTACCCCCAGTGACATATTGCCGAGCCTAGGTCTCCGCTTTTACTCAAGCGCGCGACACCTTTGTCACACCCATGGCCCAAAACCATATAAGCTCTTCCCTCGCCTCCAGTCTCTCTCAACCCTCCCACCCCCCGCATTACCCGCACACTCTCCGCTCCGATTCCTGCGCAACCTCCCGCGCAACCTTCCGCGGAGCCTCCAGCGCAACTTCCCGCGCAGGCTCCTGCGCTACCTCCTGCACAGCCACCATTGCCGCTCCTTCCCCTTCCCCTATCGTTCAAGCCCTTCCCTGCGCCACTATCCCCAGCAGGTGCCTTTCCGTGTCGTGCCCGCGGTTGTCGCTTGTGCCGCCGCACCATGCGGGTGTCCACGTCATCACTCCGCAACCGCACCGCGTCGCCCAACATTGCCATCCGCGTCGCCTTGTTATCCGTAACAGCTACCGCCCGTCCGTGTTAACGCCTGGTATCTCCCACCCACCCTACCTCGCGCCCGCACATTCCGGCCATGATCAACTATCGAGCTGCTGGGTTTCCGGCAGCGGCGGCGGCGGCGGCGGCGGCGGCGGGAGCGGAGTAGGCGGTGGTTGGAAGGGAACAACGCGCGCGGGGAGCAATAGCGGCAGCAACGACCCGCAGCAGCAACCGCCGTCGCCGCCGCCTCCGTCGCAGCAGCAGCAACAGCAACCGAAGCAAGGACTGTGGCCGACGAAAGATGGGGGCGGTGCTTCTAATGGGTTTTCATTCGGACGCCTATTCGAGACTATGGATCGAGTCACGCGACAGCAGCCGCGCCAGCAGCAAGCGGAAACAGCTGCTCCTTCCTCCTCTTCCCCATCCTCTCCCTCTTCGCCGAATCAGCAGGCTTCCCAACAGCAGCAGCAGGAGGAGGAATTGCAGAAAAAGCAGCAGCAGGAGCTGCAGAGACAGCGGCGACTCGAGCAGCTGCAGCAGCAGCAGATGGCGGCAGCAGCGGCAGCCAGACAGGAGGCCCAGGCTCTGCTTATGCAGCAGCAGCAGCAGCAGCGACAGCAGCAGCTAAATATGTTACACGCGCAGCAGCAGCAACAAAGGTTGAAGGAGCAGCAACGGTTACAGCAGCATCGGCAGATGATTCAAAGGCAGCAGCAACAGCAGCAGCAGCTACAGCAGCAGCAACTGCAGCAGCAGCAGCGACAGTCGCAGCTGCTTCAGCAGCAGAGGCTGCCGCTTTCGCCGTCGCAGACGCAGCAACATCAGCCCAAGCAACCCATGCAGCACACTCCGCAGAGAAAGGCACATCCGCAACAGATACAGCAGCAGCAGCAGCAGCAGGAAGAGCAGCAATTACTCCCAGGGTTTCCCAAATTCTCCCAGCTTGTTTCGTTCCTCCAGAGCCCTACCACGTATCCGGACCCGCCCCCGCCTCCCGCTCCTTGCTCGCGCGTGTACAGCCACGTGAACGTGCAGCGACCCGCGGACTACTGGGACTACGAGGCGCTCCGAGTGCCGTGGGGGTGAGTGCGCAACTGTGTGGTGCGGTGTGGTGTGGTGAGGTGTGGTGTGGTATCGTGTGGTGCAAAGTAGGGTGAGATGCGCGTGTACAGCCACGTGAACGTGCAGCGACCCGCGGACTACTGGGACTACGAGGCGCTCCGAGTGCCGTGGGAGTGAGTGGGAGGACATGTGGGGTGAGCGGGAGGTGGGGTACTGGTGTGGTGCGGTGTGATGCGGTGTGGTGTGGTGTGAGGTGCGCGTGTACAGCCACGTGAACGTGCAGCGACCCGCGGATTCTTGGGACTAGAGGGAGAGGATGAGGGTAACATGGGGTTGAGTAACATGGAAGAACAAGCGGTAAGAAGGGGGAGGGGAGAAGGGGGGTGAGGTGATGTTGTGTGGTGTGAGGTGGTGTGGGGTGCGCTTGGGTGCTGTCACTTATTTATGCAGCTTAGCGGGAGGAGGGAGGTAGGATTGTCAGGGAATGGTGTGGTGTGGTGTGGTGTGGTCTAAGGTGTTGCGGTGCGCTTGTGCTACCTGCATTGCTGTTAGACCAAGTTGATTCGCAATGGAGGGGGAGGGAGGGAGGGAGGAAGAAGAAAGCACATCCTCTTTTGAGTCGCCTCTGAATCTTACGCGCAATTTCGGAACGTGAAGTAAGCACTTGCAGAGGATAACATACGAGGCGCAACACTCCCCCACCTTCCACCTACCCTCTTCCCCCCCACAGCGACCAGGCGGACTACGAGCTGGTGCGCAAGGTGGGGCGCGGGAAGTGCCAAGACGGGGTATATGCTCCCTCACAAAACCTCCAAACCCCCCCCTTCCCTCCTCCCCCCTTCCTCCCCCACTCCCCCCCCCATTCCTCCCCCTCCCCCGTCCCCCCTGCAGCGACCAGGCGGACTACGAGCTGGTGCGCAAGGTGGGGCGCGGGAAGTACAGCGAGGTGTTTGAGGGGCGCAGCACCCGCCACGGCGCGCGCTGCATCGTCAAAGTGCTCAAGCCCGTGCGCCGCAAGAAGGTACGAGGGGGGGCGGAGGGGGGGGTGTGTGCGGGGGGAGAGGTGAAGGAAGGGGGAGGAGGGCGGGGGGAGGGTTGTCAGGGGCAGTTTTGAGATGCGTCTCAAAACGCGCTGCATCGTCAAAGTGCTCAAGCCCGTGCGCCGGAGGGACGGACAGGGCAGGGGGAAGGGGAGAGGAGGGGGGGAAGGGAAGGCGGAGAGAGGGGCAGAGAGATGGACGGAGGGGCAGACAGGGGAAAAGAGGAGGCCGAAGGGGAGCGGGGGAGTGGGGGATAGGGGGAGGAGCGGAGAGTAGGGCAGTATGGGTTAGTGAGAGGAGGGGGGGGGGGGTGCGGGGAAGGGGTGAGTGAGTGAAGTGATTGGAGGCACAAGTTAGTCGGAGCGTTTTGTGTTGCATCCGTCAATTAGACGTCATTGCCTTCTTACTCTATGTGAATCGCGTCGTGCACTTCATGTAACCGCTATCCCCCCCACCCCACCCCTTTTCTATCCCACGCTTCATCCCTCCTCCTTATGCGTTCCCTCCATCCCCCCATATCCCAACCCCCACCGCCCCAACCCCAACCCCCCACACAAGCATAGACACGGACACACGCGCCCTGTCCTATTCCCGTTTCCTATCATTCAGCTGCTCGACGTCGCGCCCTGTTCTGTAGCCGCCTCACAAACACACTCCTACCCCTCACCTCCCCCTTCCTTCCACTTCCCACTGGCTCACCTCTTAAACCTCTCCTCCTCCCTCCCTCTCCCTCCCTCTTACCCCCCTCCCCTCTCTCCATAAGTATCTCTCTCCCACCCTCTCTCCATTTCCCTCCTCCTCTCCTCCCTCCCATCCTCTCCCATAAGATCCTGCGCAAGATCAAGATACTGCAGAACCTCATGGGCGGGCGCAACATCATTTAGCTGCTCGACGTTGTGCAGGGCGCAACCCGTCTGTTCTATAACCGCCTCACAAACACAATCCCACCCGTCTCCTTCCCCCCCTCCCCCCTTCCACTACCCACTGGCTTCCCCCGTCATTCCCCGCCTCCTCCGCCCCCCCCCCCCCCGCCCCTCTCCCTCTCTCTGTACTTTCCTCTCCCTCCCTCCCTCTCCCTCTCCCTCTCTCTCCCTTCCTTCCCTTTTCCCCTTTCCCCATCCCCCGTCAGATTCTCCGCGAGATCAATATACTTCCGAACCTGATGGGCGGGCGCAACATCATTCAGCTGCTCGACGTGGTGCAGGATGCACAGTCAGGCATGCCCTCGCTGGTGTTTGAGTCTAGCGCCACTACGTGATGGTGCTGGTCCTTCGCACCCTCTTCCAGAGCCGCCTCACAAGCAAATTCCCACCCGCCTCCCCCGGCCCCCTCCCCTCCCCTCCACTGCCCACCGTCTTTCCCTCTCTCCCATCCCCTTCCTCCTACCTTTTTCCTCTCTCTCCCTCCCTGTCATGTCGCTCTCTGCCCCACCAGATTCTCCGCGAGATCAAGATACTGCAGAACTTGATGGGTGGGCGCAACATCATCCAGCTGCTGGACGTGGTGCAGGGCGCGCAGTCGGGCACGCCTCACAAACACAATTCCATCCGTCGCCTCCCCCGGCCTTCCACTAACCACTGTCTCCCCCCTCCACCCCCCGCCTCCTCCCTCCCTCCCCCTCCCCCTCCCCCCTACCCCCCGCCCCTCTCCCCCGTTCCCCCCTTTCCTCCCCGTTCCCAACCCATCAGATTCTGCGCGAGATCAAGATTCTGCAGAACTTGATGGGCGGGCGCAACATCATTCAGCTGCTGGACGTGGTGCAGGACGCGCAGTCGGGCACGCCGTCGCTGGTGTTTGAGTTTGTGAACAACCACGACTTCAAGCACCTCTACCCTGCGCTCTCCGACCTGGACATTCGTTTTTACCTCTACGAGCTGCTGCAGGTATGAATGGCTTGAATGGGGAGCAGTGTGCCTGCTGGGGAGGTGTTGGAGTGTGTGCGTGTGCATGTGTGTGTGTCGGGTCAGGCATACGTTTCTGCCTCTACGAGCTGCTGCAGGTGCGAATAGCTGTGTGCCTGCTGGCAACGTCTGAAAGGATGCCTAGTCGCATAGGCGAAAGCACAGCACACACTTCACTCCATCCCCATCTTCCTTTCTCCCCGTCTCCATCCTCATCTCTCCTTCTTCCATCTCCCCATCCCCTCCTCCCTCCCTCCAGGCGCTGGACTATGCGCACTTGCAGGACATCATGCATCGCAACGTGAAGCCCTTGCCTCACGCTGCCGTCATTTCCTTATGTTCCCATCCCGTCCCCTCCCGTCCCGTCCCATCCCCTCCCCTTTCCCCGCCCTTCCCACCCCCCTCCCCCAACCCTTCCAGGCACTCGACTTTGCGCATTCACAGGGCATCATGCACCGGGACGTGAAGCCGCACAACGTGATGATCGACCACCAGCGCCGCCAGCTGCGCCTCATAGACTGGGGCCTCGCGGAGTTCTACCACCCGGGCATGGCCTACAACGTGCGCGTCGCCTCTAGGTGGGTGGTTGAGAGTGCGTGGGAGTGCACGTGTGTGTGGGACAAGGCAGGCAGCGCCAGCTGCGCCTCATAGACTGGGGCCTCGCGGAGTTCTACCACCCGGGCATGGCCTACAACGTGCGCGTCGCCTCTAGGTGAGTTGTTCAGGGTGCACAGGGGACGTACGGTGCGGGATGCAGGGGAGTTCGCGGCACAGCAGCATGGGTAGGGTGTGTGAATGGGTAGAGGCAATGAGTCGGGGCAAGGCCAGCTGCAGTTCATAGACTGGGGGCTGGCGGAGTCTCCCTCTACCATCCGGGCATGGCCTACAACGTGCGCGTCGCCTCTAGGTGCGTGCGCGTGGTTGGGTGGTTAAGAGTGTGTGAGAGTGTGCGTGTGTGTGGGACAAGACAGGCAGCGCCAGCTGCGCCTCATAGACTGGGGGCTTGCACACGTTGTAGGCCATGCCCGGGTGCGCGTCGCCTCCCGGTGCGTGTTGTGCGCGTGTGGGGGTGTGGGATTGTGAGGCAGGGAGGTTGTAGTACGGTGCGCTCTAGAGTTGCCTGCGGTGCAGGGGAGTTGGCTGGGGTGCTAAAGGGTGTCCGCAGCACAGCATCATTGGCCAGGGTGTCTAGGCGGGTAGAAGCATGAACTTGGGCTGCTGCTGCTGCTGCTGCTGCTGCTGATGATGATGATGATGATGATGATGATGATGATGATGATGATGATGATGATGATAATCGAGGAGAGCCGGGACTATGGCACTATAACGAAAACAATAACAATTCTAAAAGGCTTCATCATTGAGGGGCCCGAGCTGCTGGTGAACATTGAGGCTACGGCTACCCGCTGGCCTTCCCCTCCTCAATGTGCTGTGCAGCCCTCCCCTCTCTTGCTTCCTCGCCCTTTCCCACTCCCCCGTTCCCCCTCTCGTCCCATCTCCTCTCCTTTCCCCCCAGGTACTTCAAGGGGCCAGAGCTGCTGGTGAACATAGAGGACTATGACTACTCGCTGGACATGTGGAGCCTGGGGTGCATGGTCGCAGGCATGGTGAGCCTGGGGGGTAGGCATGGTGAGCCTGGGGGGTAGGCATGGTGAGCCTGGGGGGTGCGGAGGGGATGGTGGTGAGAGCATGGAGGATGGGGTGTGTGGTGGTGAGAGCATATTGAGCATGGGATGCATGTAAGCAGTGAACATAGAGGAACGCTTCTTGCGTTCACACATTTTCCCCTCTCACCCCCTGCCTTGCTCGCATCCCACTCTCATTCTCCCTCTCCTCCTCGTATCATCCTTTCTTCCATCCCTTCCCCCATCCCTTCTCAACACTCTCCTGCCCGCCCTCCCACTCTCCCCCTCACCTCTCCCCCTCACCTCTCCCACTCCCCTCTCCCACTCCCCTCTCCCACTCCCCTCTCCCACTCCCCTCTCCCACACCTCGCCCCTCTCTCCCGCATGGCAGATCTTCCGCAGGGAGCCCTTCTTCTTTGGCGCGGACAACAACGACCAGCTCGTCAAGATTGCTCAGGTGAGGTGATTCATCATCATCATAACAATGTGCACGCCTCATCACCTTGCCATGTCGCGAAGGCAAGGGGACGGGATGGGAGGGGATGGGAGGGGATGGGAGGGGATGGGATGGGAGGGGGAGGAGGGGGAGTGGATGGACGGTGCGGGGTGTGAGGGATGGCAAGAAGGCATGACCAGGTTTCTGGTGACCCTTAACCCTACAGAAGCTGGGGAACATGCAGCAGGGCGTGCATGCAGCAGTACCAGCACCTCTCTTCCTCACACTCACTTCCCCTCCTTACTCTTTTCCCCAATCCAATTCCCCCCATCCGCCTCCCCTTCCAATTCCTCCCAACCAGGTCCTAGGCACATCGGACCTGTACCAGTACCTCACACGCTACTCTTCCGTGAACGGTGCACCTAGACTCGCAGCACTCGCAGCTGCAGTCCCTCTCCACCCCTTCACACCCACACTTCCGCCCCCCCTGTCCTCCCCTCCATCCAGGTCCTAGGCACATCGGACCTGTACCAGTACCTCACACGCTACTCCGTACGGCTGGACTCGCAGCTGCAGTCCGCTGTGGGCAGGCATCGCCGCAAGCCATGGTCGCGCTTTATCACGGCGGAGAACCAGCACCTCGTGTCACCCGAGGTAAATGCCCTCACTCACACTCACACTCTCACCTCCCTCGAAATCGTCCCTCGTATCTCCCTCATGGTCAATGACCCCCCTTACTTCGCCTCACAGCCTTGCCATCCCACCCATCGATATCCCAGCTGCCCGTTCTCCTCCTCTCTCCTCTCGCTGCCTCCTTCCCCCTCCCCCCCTCCCTCCCTCCTCTCCCCCTCTTGCCGCCTTTCCCTGTTCTCAACCCCCCCATTGCCCCTCGCGCCCTGTCACTCACCGTCCCCTCTAAGCCATTGACTTTCTTGACCGCCTGCCGCGCTACAACCACCAGGAAAGTTTTGAGTCGACTTAACCCCCATCGCCCTCCTTCCCCCCCCTCTCCCCCTCCTCCCCCCACCAGGCCATTGACTTTCTTGACCGCCTGCTGCGCTACGACCACCAGGAGAGGCTCACAGCCAAGCAAGCCATGGTCAGTGCCACGCCGGGTGTCTTGCTGGGTGGCTTTTTTTGAGGCGCCTGACAAAAAAAAAAAAAAAGGCGCATAAAAAAACAATATCTGATGCGCCTCAAAATACAAATATTGATGCGCCTCAAAAAGCAAGCCATGGTCAGTGCCACACCGCGTGTCTTGCTGGGTGGCTTTCTGCTGGGGTTATGGTGGGGTATGGGGCTATGGTGTTATGGTGGGGCATGGTGGGGGCATGGTGTGGCACAGTGGAAATGGTGTTGGGTATGGGTTCTAGCATGTGATAATATTGTGTGTCGAGTTAGCCTATTTTCCCCATTCCATCCCATCCCATCCCATCCCAACACAACCCAACCCAACCCAACCCAACCCAACCCAACCCAACCCAACCCAACCCAACCCAACCCAACCCATCCCATCCCATCCCATCCTGCCTCTCCCCACCCCTCAGGACCACCCCTACTTCGACCTACTAAGGAACCCCTCTGCTAGACCAACACCGCCCCGCACTGGCTGACTCAGAGGCATTGGCGGACAAGGAGAGAAGGCTGGGTGGACCAGGAATGGGGAGGGATATGGGAAGAGGGCGGAGTAGGGGTATGAGGGTTGAGAGGGAAAGCGGGGGATGAGTGGGGGTGGTGTGGGGTGGAGGGAGAGGTGGGGGCAGAAGGGTGGGAGAAAACGTTTGGATTGGAGGGGAAGTTTCCAGTGAGCGGGAGGGAACGAGGGGAAAGTTGAGGAGAGGGCGGGGGTGGAGCTGTGGTTTTCGTCGAGCCTCTGCGTGCAAGTGCTGCAATGTGCCGTGCGATGCTGCTGTTCTGTGCAGTGCAGTGTGGTGGTGTGCTGTGCTGTGCCTGTTGTTTTGACCTGCTCTGATTTCTTTTTTTTCAGCCGTGTTCGCTGCTGTTGTGTCGAGCGCCGAGACTAGACAGGGACATAAAAGAGACACCCAGCTACAAGGAAGGGTTGTAAAGTGGGATCCTGGTATGCGTGGCAGGCAGGCATGTGGCAGGCAGGCAGGCATGGATGGATGGAAGCTTGACTAGGGCTTGAAGGTCGTGACAAGACAAGACATGACAGCAAGGGATGGGTACCATCTGCCTACCCATCTGCCTACCCATCTGCCTACCCATCTGCCTACCCATCTGCCTAACCGCCTTGCCGCCCAACAGCCCGCCTACCTGCCTACCTGCCTTGCCCACCTCCCTATCCACCTCCCTATCCACCTCCCTACCTACCTTTCTACCTGCAGCAGCCTGTGCTTTTAGCCTACATCTTGCTTCTGGTGGGGGGGGGGGGGGGGGGGGGGGGGGGGGGGGGGGGGGGGGGGGGGGGGGGGGGGGGGTACCATATCAATTTGTTGAGGCGCGTGAATTATGCGGGGTAGTTGCCCGCTCGCTCGCTCCCCTTTCGGGAGTTTTGTTGGCGAACCATAGGCTCGACTCGAATAGACGGCATAGACCACGTCGTTGGGATGCATGCAGGCTTATCTACAAGCATGAAGGCTGTGGTACCTGGTTCCTTTCACGCTTGAAAGACCGTTTCTCAACGCGTGAAGTATAGGCGATCGTGTTGAACTGTGTTGTGTGTAGGTAAGTGAGTTGCTTTGGGGCCGTACATTTGTTTGCCCTTGATGGATCTTGTTACAGTACTGTGTTTGCTGCTGCGTTGGCTGCTCGGCATGCTTGTGCGTTGAAGTGGATGGACACACGGGATCTGCTGCTGTTTTCAGCCAGAGTTACAGCTGAGATGCCAATTGGCTAGTTTTGCCTTATTTCTACACTGCAGCACATGGTCTGTTTTTCTGGCACTTGCTCTCATGTCATGTGCCAAACCATGGTACCTACTTTTATTTTGTGGGCTATATACACTAAAGAAAGAATGGTGGAGGCTATACACTGTCAACAAGAGAAAAAATAGAATGTACATTATGGCCGGATGTGAATCACATTACGATAAATGAATAGGTGGACCTGGACCTGGACCTGTTTACACTATATTACCAAATAGTAAATGTACATTACTGTATGGCATGCATTCTGTCCACATGTTATACAACAGGACAAGAGAACCACTACCTTTCTAGCCTGGTTCATCCTTCCAGCCAGAAGCTATTGTCTCTACTAACCCCATAACCTCCCCTAAATCCGCCTTTACAGTGCCTTTCTTATTCCCTTCTCCCAGCATCAGATAGTAATTGACATCGCAGGCTTCGGCCAAATGGTGGTAGCACGTGTTATGGTAATCCCGAGGGCGAATCTCGAGCACGGAGGCATTGGAGGGCATGAAGATGGTGTGGGAGAGACCAGCCCCATGCACCGCCACCACCAGCCGTGCCCTCCGGAACAGCGCTCGGGCTGGATGGGGGATGGGGAGGAGGAAGCGAGAGCGAGAGTTAGAAAGAGAGAAGCCCGCCCCGTGCACCGCCACCACCAGCCGTGCCCTCCGGAACAGCGCTCGGGCTGGATGGGGCACAGGAAGAGAAAATAAAAGAGAGAATGCGAGAGTGAGAAAGAGGCCCGTCCCATGCACGCCACCACCAACCGCGCCCTCCGGTACAGTGCGCGCGCTGACAGCATGGGGCACGGGGACGGGTAGGGGGAGGGGAGGAAGTGGAAAGAGGAAGGGAGATGGGGGGAGATGAGTGAGAGCGTCGGAACAGGGCTTGGGCTGATGCCGGCATGGGGAGGGAAAAGAGGGGGAAACTGGAGTGGGGGAAAAGAGAGAGGGAATTAAAGAGGGGGAGGGGGAGCACAAGTGTGACTATGCAGCCCTCCCGCCTTGCGACCCACACTCACCCACCAACCCACTCCCACCTTGCAACCCACGCCCACCTTGCAACCCACGCCCACCCTGCAGGATGGGCAGCGACGTGCCGTAGACCACCAGGCGGTCGCCAAAGACGTGCCTCATGCTGCCCTCCAGCTCGCCCTCTCTCTCCATCACCCTCTCCTTGCCCGGCCGCCGCACCAGCAGCACCACCCAGTCGGCGGGCAGCAAAGCCATTTGGTCATCCGTGAGGGGGGTGAGGTTTCGCTGCGTCCAGTTGCGGTGGAAGATGGGAAGGCCCTGCGGGTGCAGCAGGTGCTGCCTGCGCAGGCTGTGCCATAGGCCCCGAGCTGGCACCCCGCAGTACTGCCGAGATGGCTGGGTGGCGTAATGGAGAGTGGAAGGGGGTGGAGGGAGGGAGAGAGATAGGGAGTAGAGTGGTGTGAGGTAGAGTTGAAGGGAGTGGAGAGGGGTGGAAGGAGGGAGGGATTATGAGGGTGAGTGAGAGAGAGGAAGAGAGAAGAATGTAACGATCGGTACTGCCGAGAAGGCAGGGAGGGGGGTGTGGGGGTGAGTAGCGGGGTGCTTTGAGAACCCTTCACCTCTTACATCGACGGCCTCTCACCTCCACGAGTGTGCGCACAGACACGAGGTGCCCATCAAGAGGCACTTTGAGACCCACGTCGTCCCTGGCTGCTCTTTGGAACATCGCCCCTAGCAATGCTCAAGAGCATAAAACCCTGCCCCTCTTCTCTCTCTCTCTCTCCCTCTCTCACCTCCACGAGTGTGCGCACAAACACGAGGTGGCCATCAGGCGGCATTATAAGGTCCACGTTGTCCCTGGCTATGCCCACTAGCGGCGCCATCAGATCGTCCCACACCTGCACCTGTTAGCGCACACACCCACATACACATGCGCATGCACGCACGCACACACACACACATGCGCACATCACATAAATATCTACGATGTTGAAATTATGCATCCCCCCCCCCCCCCCCCCCCCCCCCCCCCCCCACAACCCTCAACCCCAACCCCAACCCCACCCGCCCTTGTCCAAAGTGGTTCGAGTCCGGCCGAATCGAAACACACGCCCCACCTACCCACCCACCCATCCACCCACTAGCACCCCCAGCAGCAGCACCTGCTTGGGTGAGGCGAGGAGGGGGAGGCGGAGGCCGCGGTGGAAGGAGGGCAGGAGGGGCGCGAGGTTGTAGAGCTGGGGGAGGGCCCAAAGCTAGATCTGTGCCGATGGCTATTAACGGTTCACTTGACGCGTCATTCAAGCGACCACCCACCCCCCTCTACCCCCCACCACCACCCGCCCTCGTCCACAGTGCTTCGAGTCGACCTGGATTGAAACACACGACGCCTATGCATGCCCCAACCCAACCAGCAGCAGCGTTACCTGCTTGGGTGAGGCAAGGAGGGGGAGGCGGAGGCCGCGGTGGAAGGAGGGCAGGAGGGGCGCGAGGTTGTAGAGCTGAGGCATGGCCTCCGTGAGCATGTGGAAGAAAGCGAGACCTGCCACGTGCGCCCAGTTGATGGCCCGGCCTAGCTTGCGCACTCTAGCTGACGGGGGGAAGGAGAACTGGAGGGGAGGGAAGGAGGGGAAGAGGGATGGGGAGGGGGGGAGGGGAGGAGGACAGGAGGGGAGGAGGGAAAAAGGAGAGGAGGGAAAGAGGGGAGAAAGTTAAGAAGGGAGGAGGGCAGGAGGGGCGCGAGGTTGTAGACCTGCCACGTGCACCCAGTTGATTGCTCGACCTAGCTTGCGCACCCGCGCGGATGGGGGGAAGGAGAACTGGGGGGGAGGGGGTGAAGGATGAGAAGAGGGGGAGAGGGAAGGGGGAAAGTTGAGGAAGGCAGTGTGGAGAAGAGAGGGGGCGAGGTGGGGAAAAAGGGGGAGGAGCGGGGAGGAAAAGACGGGCCGCATTCAGAAACAAGATTTCGACAGCAATGCATGGTGGTGGCGGCAGCGAAACAAAAGAAATGGTATGAGGACGTGTATTTTGAGGCGCCTCAAAATACACTTCACTGCGAGCTAGCGCTAGCCTGCAGCAGCACCAAACCACGTGACTCACCTCCTGCTGCTACCTCGTGCCTCTCACCTTCTGGTACGCCCCACAGCCGTTGCGCACGAAGCGGTGCGTGCGGTTGAAGACAAACCCGAGGTTGGACACAAACACGTGGTGCACTCGGAACGCCTGCAGTGGTGGTGGGGAAATTTCAGGGCTGAAAGGGTGTTTCTTTTGTTAAGGGCTTGAACATTAGTGCTTTGGGCACAGAAAAACCCACATGGGAACCCACCTGGAAGCCCACCTGAAAGGCCACCTGAAAGGCCACCTGAAACCCACCTGGAAGGCCACCGCGTCCCTCGCGTCCAGGTCTTCCGCGTGCGCGCACGTCGCGTTCCGCCAGCCCCCCTGCACGCGCGGGCAGTTGACGGGCGCGCGCATGTTCATCCGCCGATCCGCGGAGAGCTCGGGGTTCCAGCAGGCGGCGACGTTCCCGAAGGTGTTCCCGCACGGGGAGAAGGCGGGGCAGGCGCGGCCGTGGCAGCGCATGTGGAGGGGCGCGCGGAGGTGCGTGTTGAAGAGGTCCAGCGCGATCACGGGGAGCGCCGCGCTCTGCGCCGCCCACCCCAGGCGCCGCGCGGGCACGGGCATCCACGACGGGGGGAGCGGGGCCCGGGACTGGGGGAAGGGGGAGGGGGGAAGATTTGCGCGCTCCCCCCCCCCTGCTGCCTGCGGTCCCTGCTCGCTCTCACCCCGTCCGCCTTCGTCCTCCCCTTCCCCTCCCCCTTCCGCCTCCCCACTTTCACCTCTGTCTGCCTCTATTCTCCCTCTACTTTCCGCCTTCCCTTCCCTTTCCGCTCCCCCTTCCGCCTGCGCCAGTTCCGCCTCTATCGCATCCACGCGCCCCACTACCTGCTGCGCTTCCCCTTCTCCCCCGCCCTCCTCCAGGCCCTTCCGTCGCCGGGACACTGCGACAGCGTCTGCGACTGGCTTCGTGACTACCCCTGCGACAGCTTCTGCGACGGAATTCGCAACCGGGTCCGCATTTCGCGGAGCAGTCCTGACCGCAAAGGGGTCCTGGCCCGCTGGGGCTTCGCTTGCTGCCGACTTTTCCGGCGCCTCAAATGTCGCAAAGAGATTCTGACTCGCGGGGACTGCGCTTGCTGCCGCGACGATCGCGACAGCACACGAGGTAGCAGCATGGTTCGGAGCAGAACCATGCTGCGGAGGCGAGCCGCGAAAGGAGAGAGCTAGTAGGAGGCAGAGCAGCAGGAGCGGCGGTGCCGACGGGTGGCGGAGCATGAGCGACGAGCCGGGAAATGCGGGGGGATAGATGCCGCTACGGATATGTATTACACTGGAAATGAGTAGTGCTGCTGCCGCTGCTGCTGCTATGGCGGAAATTACTGATGGCTGGTGAGTCGACGCTCCTTGGCTGCACTTCGTCTCTGCCAGCCAAAAAGTTTTTTTTTTTCTGGTGCACGTGCTGTGCTGGCTGTGAAATGTTCCACGCCTTCGGGCCGCCTCTTGAAAATTCGTCTGAATGCGGCTCAAATGGTTCGATTACGGTTTAGAGAGCTGTAGGTAGTTCGGGTATGGTACTTTATTGGGCCAAAACACGCCCTTCCCAACAACTCGAGAAGGTCGTTCACCTGTGGCCACCTGAGTCCATTGTATAATTTGCATGTTCAAGGCACAGTCCATATCGGGTATGCCCACGGGAATAAATAGCTCCAATCACTTCGACGGTTCATTTTTCTGCAATGTAGCTGAGAGTAAAGAAAGCAGCAACTATATGAGGGCTGTATTCTGCTAAAGAATGTGTATATGTCGGGTCCAGTCGCGAGATTCCAACTTTCATTTCTGCAACCTGCCAACCAACCCTCCGCCCTTCAAACAGATCCCAAGGCAAGCTCAAGCCTGAGGCATGAATCTGCGAATCCAAGACCAGATTGGTCTTTCATCCTAGGTACAGCGTGAATCCGAAGCGCTTATTTTACCAGGAACCATGCCGTAACGTACTAGCCGTTCGTCTATTTTTGCGTCGCAGACGAGCGCATTCTGCGGACGGTGCTTGGGGAATATCAGGCACCAATCGTGTGGGAACGTGCTGATGTCTTGATGACGTAATTCGTGCTCAAGTCCGAAGTGAGAGATTGACGAGATTGTTTATCGCGGAGTCACGAACCTGCTACCTGGGAAGCGAAGCTGTGGGAATGCGAGAGCGCCGCTTGGTTGCGTGGTAACCACACAATTGCGCGCACTCGAAAGGGACAAAGAGTTACAGTATAATCGTTACGGATCACGGGGGAAGCGGCAGCTTTTAGCGGGGTGATTGTCACCTGGGATCAGATCGAGGTGTTCTTATCGCGTCGCGTTTATCCCATGAGCGATCCGTTACTTTCTGAATTGCTAACGTGATTCCTTAGTGCCGAGCCCGTTCTGAGGCATATAGTAAAGGATTGCATCCCGCGTTAGGAGATGTGATTTTACGAGGAGTACGAATTGAGGTGCCTGCGACGAGTTGACACAGCTTGACGCCGACAGGCTGACGTGGGGAGCGCGAAGTTGGGAGGATGACCGGAGGAGCCAACTCACGCAGAAGCTGGAGAAAAGAGCGGAAAGAGCAACGATAGCGCTAGCAGCGTCGGAAAAGAGTGGCAGCAGCAGCAGCACTATCAGCACCGCTGCCTGCCACCACCACCGCCAAGACCCGCAGCAGCAGCAGCAACAGGAACAAGATGGGCACAATTAGCGGCAGCAGCACCATGGGGGCTAGTAACCCTGCATGTGATAATAATCGTGGAGGTAGCAGCAGGCGAAGCCGGCACTCCTCCCTCCCTCCTCTCTCTCCCCCCTGTACCAACCGTAGAGCACAAGGCCAAGCAGCAGGGATTCTTGGGCACAAAATCGCGCCTGCTTATAGAGGGTACATGCCTTGGATAGGTCAAAGTGCTGGTTTAATTTGTGCTGGTAACCGTGCTGGCAACTGCGCTGGGGAAAGTTCTGGTATCAGTACCTGTAGCAGTCCATATAGCGATGGTGGTTCTAGAACAGCCGTGTCCACTCCTTTGAACCGAACTCGAATCCTACCTCTTCCCTGGGTGCCCGTTCTCCACCTTCTCCTCCTGATCCTCGTTCTCGCCCCATGGACAAGTCACAGTGTGCTTGTGATGGGGGAGACACATGAAGAGGCCGGTAGCAGCAGCAGCCGTATTGATAGGAGAGAATTAGTAGACAGCAGTGACGAATCGTTGCAAGCAACTCCTGGGGTTGCCTCTCTGGCTTCTGCACCTCCCAGCCTTCCACCACTACCAGCATCATCCCCCTCTTCACCATCACTATCGCCATCACTATCAGCAGCAGCATCTGCATCAACATCATCACCATCATCACCATCACCATCAGCAGAATCTGCACCAGCATTATCATCATCACCATCACCATCTACTGAACCTCCCTCGTCTCATCCATCCTCCCTGCATTCACCCTCGCATTCTCCCTCCCGCTCCTCTCATGAAAAATCACTCTCCGCTGCCATTGTCCCATCAACCCCCTCTCCTCCCGCGTCTCCCTCTCCTCCCCCTGTCTGCCCTTCCTCCTTGACTCACTCCGATTCCTCCTCTCCCTCACTCCCTTCTTCATCCCATTCAGATTCCTCCTCCTCCACTTCTTCGTCCCCTTCCTCCACTTCTTCTACCTCCTCCTCCTCCTCCTCCTCCTCCTCCTCCTCCTCCTCCTCCTCCTCCTCCTCCTCCTCCTCCTCCTCCTCCTCACCCCCCTCCTCCTCTTCCGCCTCTGCTTCCCCACCCTCCCGGTCCCGATCCCATCGCACCAAGGCAAAGGCAGCAGCAGCAGCATCGGCATCAGCGGCAGCAGCAGCAGGGCGGTGGGAGCTGATGAACCGTTTCTCATATGACCAGCAATTGTCGGCAAATCACTACATCCTCTGTGTCATCACCGTACCATGTGAGTCCGTGTGTGTGGCCTTGCCGCTGTGTGTGTGGTGGGTGGGTGGGTGGGAGGGACGGAGGGCAGTGTGGCCATGCTGTGTACTTGTGACCAGCAACTGTTGACCAATCACTATATGCACTGTGTTTTCACTGTTCCATGTGAATCCGTGTCCCTGTGTGTGTGGTGGGTGGGGATGGGTGGAGAGGGGGTGTGGGGGGTGGGTGGGGATGGTTAGTGTGATTATGTGTTTGCATTCGATTTTCAGGACGTTGTAGAAATCACTGTGCCATGTGAGTCCGTGTGTGTGTGTGGTGTGTGGGTGGGTGGTGGAGGGAGGGCAGTGCCACCATGTGCTTGTTTTTTGAGTCAAATCAAAAGTCAACTTGGGAGCGAGGGCAATGTGACCATGTGCTTGTGTTCTTGTGTGTAGATGTGTGGGTTTTGTCGAATCTCTTTCTGTTCTGTAACCATTCCGTCTTCTTGTGTTCTTGTGTTCCGGCCTTCCCCGTGCCTCTGCACCGATTCCTTCTATCCCCCATGCTCCACCTCCTCCCTGCTCCCCCTCCCCCGCCTCCCCTTCTCCCCTCCCCCCAGAGTGTTGGGCGTCCCCTCACAGCGTCTTGCGAAAGACTGCTCTAGAGACATCACAAAAGTCGACACCCCTCCCCTCTCCTCCCCCCTTCCCCTCCCCCCCAGGGTGTGGCGCCTCCCAGCGGCTGATGAAGGAGATCAAGCTCGCCATAGACAGTGGGTCAGCGCCCGCTACAGTCACGGCCCCGCCGCACCCGCTGGCGCTGCGGTGGATCAACTACCAGCGCGAGAAGGAGTTCATGGCCAACAAAGAGCTCTCCCTCCCGGCCGTTCACTTATTTCGTGCCGGGAGCAGCTTTATTTACCGCGGGCCACTCACAGCGCGCCACGTGTTGCAGGCTGCGGCGCGTGGGATGGCGATCCAGGAGGATTGGCTGCCGATTCGGAGGGTCGGGAGCTGGGAGGAGTTGGTACGGGTTGGGAATGGGTCGAGAGTGGTGCTGGCGCTTGTGGAGCGGTGCGGGTGGTATGAGGAGTTTTTTGGGGATGGGGCGCGTGGTGGGGGTGAGGGGAAGGGGGAGAGGAGGGAGGGGGGAGAGGAGCAAGAAGGGAGAAGGGAGGAGAAAGGGGACGAGGAGGAGAGAGAGGAGGGGATGGAAGGGAGAATGGGTAAGGATAGCAGGAAGGAGGAGAGCCAGGGGGAAGAAAGCAGGGGTGAGGATAGCAGGGGTAAGGAGAGCAGGGGTAAGGAGGAGAGCAAAGGGAAGGGAATTGTGGCAGTGAGTAGTAGCAAGGGGCCTGTTTGTGAGGCAGACATGGGTGAAGGAGCATCATCGCCACCACCACAAGAGGCACCTGCATTGATGCAGTGCACTGTTCATGAAGGCAAGGAGGAAGAGGGTCACTCAGAGCAAGCCTCGGAACAAAGCTTTAAACAAGGCCCGGAGCAAGGTTTGGAACAAGGCCCGGGGCAAGGCTCGGAACGAGGTGTGGTGAGAAGCAACGGCGAGGAGAGCTCCCATGAGGGGGTTGCTGCTACTGCTGAGTTGACTGAGGGGCCTGCACGTGGTGCAGTCAACAAGTTAGTGAGCGGCGTCGATGATAGGCCAAAGGGTGCAGGAGAGAATAGGGCAGGGGAGACGCGAGATGAACAGCTGGAGGAACCTTTAGAAGAACCTTCAAAGGAGCCTTCAGAAGAACCTCCGAAGGGCATTTCTGAGGATCGATCGACTGAAGCTTCAGAGAAGAACCTGAAGGGGGAGCCTCAGGAGCCCCAGAAGCGGTTAACGGAAGGAGCGTCATCGTCATTATCGAAATCCGCGGCGGCACTGTCAGGGGGGTGGGTGGAGTGTGGGAGCGAGCATGCGAGGAAGGAGTTGAAGCGTGTGGTGGGAGAGTTGAAGACAGTGGTGCAGGGGCACGCGCTGACTCCCTCCCAGGCTGTGGTTGTGCTCGTTTCAGACCCTCTTCTTGCCGCACAGGTGCTGGGGAAGGTGGATGGGTGGGAGCAGGGGAACGGGAGTGGGGTGGGTGTGGGGGAGGTTTATGGTGCAATGCGGACGGGAGCAATTGATGCTTCTACTGGTAGTGGTGCTGCTGCTGCCGCTAGTGGTGGTGGTGGTGGTAATACTTCTGCTGGTGCAGCAGCCACAAGAGGAAGGACAGTCGGGGCAGCACTGGGGGGAGGCCTTGGGGAACTTGGGTGGCGATTGGTGGCATTTGTTAGAAGAGGGAGGGATATAGACGGATGGGATGGGGAGAGTGAGCGTGGGGGGGATGGCCGAGAGTGGATGGAAACAGAGAGAGAGGATGGTTGGGAGGAAGGTGGAGAGGAGGGGGGTTTAGTGAAGGGAAGGGGGAGGGAACTGTATGTGAGTCAGGAGATATCAGGGAGTAGAGTTGAGGCGGGGCGTGATAGGGAGAAGGATGATAAGGATGATGGTGACAATAGTGGTGACGATGGTGGTGATGGCTGTGGTGTGATGAGCACAAGAGGTGGTAAAGTAGGGGAAGAAAACACTAGACAGCACGAGAGGCAAGAGATTGAGGGGCAGCAAGAGCAGCAACTCCAGAAGCAGCAGCAGCAGCAGCAGCAGCAGCAGCAGCAGCAGGAAGAGGAGGATCAGCAGGAGGGGCAGCAGGAACGAGTGCTGGGGGAAAACCAAAAGCGTCAACATCAGGAGAAGCAGGAAGGGCAGCAGAAAAAAGCAATGCTTGAGAAGCTAGCAGAGGCTAAAGCGGAGAAGGTGGGGAGGGCGCGAGGGTGGTTTGAATACCCATGGCCATCGGAACCGCAGCAGTCCGGAGAGACCCTGTCCGTAGAAGACTGGATGCAGAGCCTTCCCCGACCTGTTGTTCAGGAGGTATGTTCCACAGTCCACTTGCTCACTCGGAAATTCCTTAAGTCCTCTTGGCTGAGGTGACTTTTGAGTCGACTCAAAAGCTTCCCCGGCCTGTTGTTCAGGAGGTACGTTCCACAGTCCACTTGCTCACTCGGGAATCTCTTAAGTCCTCTTGGCTGAGGTGACTTTTGAGTCGACTCAAAAGCTTCCCCGGCCTGTTGTTCAGGAGGTACGTTCCACAGTCCACTTGCTCACTCGGGAATCTCTTAAGTCCTCTTGGCTGAGGTGACTTTTGAGTCGACTCAAAAGCTTCCCCGGCCTGTTGTTCAGGAGGTACGTTCCACAGTCCACTTGCTCACTCGTGAATCTCTTGAGTCCTCTTGGCTGGAGCGCGCCTCCCAAGCTGTCTTTTTTTTTTTTCAGATGTGCAATAGCCCTTGGGGGTTGCTAGATTGCTGGGTGATGCGGTTCGTGTTTCTGTCTAGAATGCTGCTCATGTCATTGCTTGCTTGCCACGGTTTGCATCCCTGCATCGCAGCTCGCTTCTTGAGAATTCTCAAAAAACATACCTTGCCACTGTTTGCATCACGGTTTGCATCCCTGCATCGCAGCTCGCTTCTCTGTAAGAAGCCCTGTTTCGCGTGCAAAGCGTGGTTGCTTGCGTGCCACGAGTATTCTCGCCCAACACCTTGCCCATGAACCTTTGCTTCTGCAATGCAGTTGTTTCATATGCCGTCCTTTTTTAAACTCCGCCCTTCCCTTTCACTTTGATTGATTATATCGTGTTCTTGTTCAGGTTACCCCGGACGCCTACAGCTCATCTTTCAACTCCAAGCGCCCGTCTGTGCTTCTATTCCTAGACTCTTCCATCCCCGCCTCTCTTCCCGCAACTCCCAAGTCTTCCTCCTCTTCGTTCTCAGCCGTTTCAACAGCATCAGCAGCCAAAGCAGCAGCTGCAGAAGCAGCAGCAGCAGCAGCAGCAGCAACCACAACCTCCTCCACTGTTGGCAAAGAAGCAGCACCAGGAGCACAAGAAGCAGCAGCACCAACAGCAGCGGCAGCAGCAGCAGCAGCAGCAGCAGAAGCAGCAGGAGCGGCGACTGCTGCTGCTGCTGACGCTCTTCTGAGAGTGGCACGGGTGTTTGCACGAGAGGAGGAGGTGAAACGACGAGCAGCAGCTGTTGCCGTGGCTGCAGCAGCACGAATGAGGAAACGTGCAGCTGCTTCAGGGGCCAATCGCACTGCTTCTACTGCCCAAGATGCTGCTGATGCTGCAGCTAAATCTGCTTCGACTCTTCATGGTAGAGGAGGAGGAGAAAGGGCAGGGGGAGGAGGAGAGAGAGGAGGAGGAGGAGGGGAAGGAGGAACAGGGGTAGAAGACAAGAAGGGGGGTCAGTTGGTGCTTGAGGATGGGGGAGGGGCAGGGGGGACGGGGAGGCCGGGGGCAGGAGGCGCAGGTCTTGTGAGGGCGGATGCTAGGCTGCTGCAGGTGCTGCAACACGCGTTGCAACAAGGAGGGTTGCAAGGGTTGGGTGCTGCGCTGCAGCAGCAGCAGCAGCAGCAGCAGCAGCAGCAGCAGCAGCAGCAGAAGGAGAAGGAGAGAGCGCAGGGAGGAATATTGCAGCAGGTGCAGCAGCAGTTGCAGCAGCAGACGCAGGAAGGGCAGCAGGCAGAGCAAGGAGTGCAGGTGCAAGTACTGCAGCAGCAGCAGCAGCAGCAGCAGCACTTAGTGACGATACAGTTGGGTCCACAGGAGCTTGCGGCTGGTGATCTGGGGTCAGTGCTTCGAGCCGCGATGCAACAACAGGGGCAGGTGCAGCAGCAAGGAAAGGTGGGAGAGATTCAAGAAGAGGGAGAGAGGCAACACGATGCAGAGTTGCAACAAGAGAAGCAGGCAGTGGGGGCAGTGCAACAGCAGCTGCAATCGCTGCAGCAAGCACTGGTGCAGGAACAGGGGCAGCAGCAGGAGGGGAATCAGTGGGTGCAACCCACAGATGAATATGGGACTAGGGTGATTAAGAAGGGCAAGGAAGAGCATGCTGAAGGTGGGAATAAAGTAGCTGATTACGGGAGGGAGATTGTGCAGAAGGAAGAGCGTTGTATAGGTGGAAACAATGAAGCTGATGCTGGGAATGGGGAGATTACGGAGGAGAGGGAAGAGCATGTGAAAGATGCGGATGAGGCGCTTAGTGGCGATGGCAGCAACGAAGTTAGGGAGGCCTATAATGAATTGGAGGGTGCGGAATCGGGGGCTTTTGGGTTGAATGTGTTGAGTGATGGGAAGGTAAGGCAGGGAGACAAGAATGAGGTGAGCAGGGAAAAGAAGGGGGAGGAGGGAAAAGGTGAGGAGGTTGAAGCAAAGTGTAGAATGGAGGAGGAGGAGGGTAGCGAGGGCGTTTGCCGACCACTGCAACAGGTGTCGGAAGCAGGGACTGATGAGCCAGAAGGGGTAACCCAAGATGACCCTGCTGCTGCTGCTGCTACTGCTGGTGGTGGTGGTGCTTCTGCTGCTGCTGCTTCTGCGAGTGCTGGCACTGGTGCCATTCCTACCAGTGGCGAAGCAGAGATTGGGAGTGCGCAGGAAAGGGAGGGTGAGAGTGAGAGGGAGAGGGAGAGTGAGAGTGAGGGCGAGAGCGAGAGGGAGAGTGAGGATGAGAGTGGTGAAGGGGAGAGGCAGAGTGAGAGGGAGAAAGCAAGTGAGAAAGAGAGTGAGAGCAAGAGGGAGAGTGAGAGTGGTGAGGGGGAGGCGGGTGCAGTGGAGCGGGAGGATCTGATGGGGCCAGAGGCGGAGGAGAAGGCGAGAGCGAGTGAGAGAAATGACAGGGAAGAACAGAGGGAGAGGGAGATCGAGAATAGTGAGAGGGAGGCGCATGCAGTGGAGTGGGAGGATCTGATGGGGCCAGAGGCGGAGGAGAAGTGGATAGACGACCTGCCCTTCTCCTTCTTCATTGTGGACCGGGATGACGCTCTAAGAGACCGGCTCATCCCACCCGTCCCTGCGCATGCACCTCCCTCCGTCTCTTCCTCCCCCACCTCCTCCTCCTCCAACGTTTCCTCTTCCTCCTCTTCCCCCTCTTCCCCCTCTTCCCCCTCGTCCACCTCTAATCCCTCTTCCTCCTCCGCACCCACGTCCTCTCCCTCTCCCCCACTCTCTGCCGACCTCCCTGCTCTCGCTGTCCTCCACCCCTCGCAAGACTCAGTCTTCCTCTACCCTGGCACTCCCACGGACGCAGCATCTCTCCTCTCCTTCCTCCGCGCAATCTTACAGGGCCGAGTGCAGCGATCCTCCCGCTCCTCCCCCCGCCCCCCTCCCCCTCGCCACACTCCCCCTGTGCCGTTTCTCAACACGGATTTCCGGGAGATTGAGGGGGTGGAGAGGGTGTGTGCGCAGGATTTTATTCACCTGCTGCGGGAGCGGCGGGGGGAGTATGAGCGGGTGATGGGGCAGTGGCGGCGGTGGCGGCAGCAGCAGCGGTGGGTGCGGGAGCAGCGGCGTTTGGTGAGGCGGCAGAGGAGATGGCGGAGGGAGGTGAAACAGCAACAGGCAGGGTTGAAGGAGGAAGTCAGGAGAGGGGACGGTGGAGGAAAGGAGGAATCAGGGAATCATCAGCAGCAGCAACAGCAGCAGAAGCAGGAGCAGCAGCAGAAGCAGGAGCAACAGCTGCAGCAGAAGCATGAGCAGCAGCAGCAGCAGCAGCAAGTGCATGCACAAAATACTGGTGCTGCTGCTGCAGCTGCTTCTTATCAGGTGGACCCACGGCCTCTGGCACTACTACTGACCACCCCTTGGTGTGGCTTCTGCCGGCGCATTGAACTCGCCTTCCGAGAAGCCCACCGCGCTCTGCTCATGCTCCCAGCAGGTCAGTTTGAGACTGATTAATCATTGAAAAATCTCAAGGAAGGACCAACTATTCCTGTAAATGCTGCTGCTCCATTTGTTAAGAAAGGCCTGCTGGCTGGATCCAGTTCTGAGAGGTTTACGTCGAGAGTCAAGTTTTGAGACGTCGCAAAGGTCGTCTGTATCCTTAAGTTTGAGACGTTTACGTCGAGTCAAGTCAAGAGAAAGCCATCTTTTTGCACAGTTATCAGGCCGGGTGAGCTCGGGTCGACCTGGTTGGGTCGACCTGGTTGGGTCGACCTGGTTGGGTCGATCGGCAGCTGAGATTCTGAAGGGGCTTGCTTTGAGATGTGCGAAGCAATTCTAACTGTGTGGCTGTTTGCACTTAAGTCTCGCCCACTCAATCAACTCGTTTGTGTCGAGCATTCGGTGTGGCATATGGCATTTGATGTGGGGTATGTTGAGTAAGCACTCCGCCCGCAGTGCAACTTTCCTGGAGGCTTTAAGCGTGGCTCTTATATGTTTTTTTTTTTTTTGTTCATTTCGTATGAATGTGCAGCCATTCACGTGTCAGTGCCAGCACAGCAGCAGCAAGAGCAGCAGCAGCAGCAAGAGCAGCAGCAGCAGCAACAGCACCAGCAGCAGCAGAAGAAGCAGCAACAGCAAAGTGCGTCAACTGAGAGACAAACAGAGACAGTGGTGGGAGCAGCTGCAGCAGATAGTGCTGAGAATAAAGTGCAAGGCAATGCTGGGAGGAGAACGAGTGGGGAGGGAGAGCGTTCAGAGGAGAAGGAGAAGGAGAAGGATGAGGATGGGGAAGTGACTGTGGATGTGCAGTCGTGGCTGTCGCACCTGCCTCGTCTGCTGCAGATCGACTGTTCCGTGAACGACTGTCACGACGTGCTCTTGCCGTACTGGCAGGTAAGCGCGGGCCATAACTCTTGAGGCGCCTCCAAAGGCGCCTCAAAAGTCGTAGCTGCTGAGGCGCCTCAAAGGTCACCTGCCTCATCTGCTGCAGATCGACTTTTGAGTCGACTCAAAAGTCACCTCACCTGCCTCGTCTGCTGCAGATCGACTGCTCTGTGAACGAATGTCACGGCGTGCTCTTGCCCTCCTGGCAGGTGAGTGAGCGAGCCTTAAGTGAGCAAGCCTCAATTGAGCGAGCCTCAAATCTCCGGCACAGTGCCTACGAGATGTCTCAGAAGGTTTCAGATTGAGACGTCTCAAGAGATCGACTGCTCTGTGAACGAATGTCACGGCGTGCTCTTGCCCTCCTGGCAGGTGAGTGAGCGAGCCTTAAGTGAGCAAGCCTCAATTGAGCGAGCCTCAAATCTCCGGCACAGTGCCTACGAGATGTCTCAGAAGGTTTCAGATTGAGACGTCTCAAGAGATCGACTGCTCTGTGAACGAATGTCACGGCGTGCTCTTGCCCTCCTGGCAGGTGAGTGAGCGAGCCTTAAGTGAGCAAGCCTCAATTGAGCGAGCCTCAAATCTCCGGCACAGTGCCTACCAGATGTCTCAGAAGGTTTCAGATTGAGACGTCTCAAGAGATCGACTGCTCTGTGAACGACTGTTACGATGTGCTCTTGCCCTACTGGCAGGTGAGTGAGCGAGCCTCAAGTGAGCGACCGAGCCATGACTGACTTTCCCATACGGTGCTTCTTGCGATTTGACCTGTGTTAAACGTTCTTAAGCTTGGGGTCGCCTCAGAGAAATGAAACTGGTCTGTCTGTCAGTTACTGGCTGGGTGCCATGATGTGTGTGTTGTTCTCCTCCTGCCATACTCTGGTGTGTTTTGAGTCGTCTCAAAACACAGTTTCTGGCTGCCATGATGTGTGTGTTGTTCTCCTCCTGCCATACTCTGGCTGGCAGAAGGGGTGACGTCCAAAAGAGCCCCATGTAGAGGTCATGGTTCAATGCGTGGCAGCAAAAACTTAGTTAAGACACCTGAGCATGTGATTGTGTTACTGGCTGCCCTGCCATGATGTGTGTGTTGATCTCCTCCTGCCATGATGTGTGTGTTGATCTCCTCCTGCCATGATGTGTGTGTTGATCTCCTCCTGCCATGATGTGTGTGTTGATCTCCTCCTGCCATGATGTGTGTGTTGATCTCCTCCTGCCATGATGTGTGTGTTGATCTCCTCCTGCCATGATGTGTGTGTTGATCTCCTCCTGCCATGATGTGTGTGTTGATCTCCTCCTGCCGTGATGTGTGTGTTGATCTCCTCCTGCCATGATGTGTGTTTTGATCTCCTCCTGCCATGATGTGTGTGTTGATCTCCTCCTGCCATGATGTGTGTGCTGATCTCCTCCTGCCATGATGTGTGTGTTGATCTCCTCCTGCCATGATGTGTGTGTTGATCTCCTCCTGCCATGATGTGTGTGTTGATCTCCTCCTGCCATGATGTGTGTGTTGATCTCCTCCTGTCATGATGTGTGTGCTGATCTCCTCCTGCCATGATGTGTGTGTTGATCTCCTCCTGCCATGATGTGTGTGTTGATCTCCTCCTGCCATGATGTGTGTGTTGATCTCCTCCTGCCATGATGTGTGTGTTGATCTCCTCCTGCCATGATGTGTGTGTTGATCTCCTCCTGCCATGATGTGTGTGTTGATCTCCTCCTGCCATGATGTGTGTGTTGATCTCCTCCTGCCATGATGTGTGTGCTGATCTCCTCCTGCCATGATGTGTGTGTTGATCTCCTCCTGCCATGATGTGTGTGTTGATCTCCTCCTGCCATGATGTGTGTGTTGATCTCCTCCTGCCATGATGTGTGTGTTGATCTCCTCCTGCCATGATGTGTGTGTTGATCTCCTCCTGCCATGATGTGTGTGTTGATCTCCTCCTGCCATGATGTGTGTGTTGATCTCCTCCTGCCATGATGTGTGTGTTGATCTCCTCCTGCCATGATGTGTGTGCTGATCTCCTCCTGCCATGATGTGTGTGTTGATCTCCTCCTGCCATGATGTGTGTGTTGATCTCCTCCTGCCATGATGTGTGTGTTGATCTCCTCCTGCCATGATGTGTGTGCTGATCTCCTCCTGCCATGATGTGTGTGTTGATCTCCTCCTGCCATGATGTGTGTGCTGATCTCCTCCTGCCATGATGTGTGTGTTGATCTCCTCCTGCCATGATGTGTGTGTTGATCTCCTCCTGCCATGATGTGTGTGCTGATCTCCTCCTGCCATGATGTGTGTGCTGATCTCCTCCTGCCATACTCTGGCTGGCAGAAGGGGTGACGTCTGAGTTGACGAAGAAGATACAGATACATTACATGCATGCGCTTTCCCACGAGCCCTCAACCTCCCATCAGCTCTCCGCATGCTCCCAATACCCTCATTCTTTCCACTTGTCGTTTTTTCCCTATGCCTTTGTTTCCTCAATCCCCGTATTCTCCCTCCGCCACCCTTTCCCCTTTCCTCCCTCCTTCCTCCTCCCAACTCCCTCCTCCCTCCGCCCTGTGTTGTGCAGATTTCAGCCTTCCCTGTCGTCGCGCTGATCCCTCCCTTGCCAACACTTCCGCCACCCACTGCAAGCACCACCACCACCACCCTTGATCCTGCTTCGAACGCCACCACCGCTTCCTCTTCTCCTTCTTCTTCCACACCCGCTCATCCTTCTGCTGATGCGCCTAACCATTTCAACTCCACCACACCTTCCATACCTGCTGCTGCTGCTGCTACTGCTACTGCTGCTGCTGCTGCCCCTGCTGCAGCTGGGGGTGGTGGAGACGGGGTAAGGAAGGGAGAGGGGGAGGTGGTGAGGGGATTGCAGAGCAATGAGGAGATGGGAGCGAGGGATACAGAGGAGGCGAGCGAGGAGAGAGAGGTGGCAAAGGAGGGACGGAATGTAGGCAAAGAGGTAGGGGAGGGGCACGAGGAAGCAGAAGAGGAGGAGGACGAGAATGAGGGAGAGGAGGAGGAGGAGGATGAGGAGGAGGATGAAGAGGGTTATGCGGAGGGGGAAGGGGCAGCAAGGGGGAATGATGCGAGTGTGCCAGTGATGTACCGAGGCCCACATGCAGTGCGCCCCTTCATTGCCTTCCTTCTCAACCACACCACCCTTCCCCCAGCCGCTGCCTCTCGAATCTTACAAGGTAAGTGCAGGGAAGGGGCAGGATAGCAAGGGAGAAGGATGCGAGTGCGCCAGTGATGTACGGAGGGGCCCCCATGCAGTGAGCCCCTTCGTTGCTTTCCTACTCAACCCTGCCGCCGCTTCACGAATCTTACAAGGCAAGGGCAGGGAGCGAGGCGGAAGGGAAGAAGGTGAGGGTGGTAGACTTGGAGTTGCTAAGGAGCTGTTTTTTTTTTGAGTCCTCAATAAACAGGTTCAGCTCCTGGAGGAGCTGAACCTGGAGGAACTTGGAGTTGCTTACAAGAGAGACTCCTGAAGGAGCAACTCTCTTGTATGGGTAGGGGTCTCTCTTGTAAGCATGCTCTTCTTTTCCCGCCGTTCCCCTCCTCTCGTCTCGTCTCCCGTCCCCTCCCCTTCCTCCCCTCCATCCCTCTCTCCTCTCCAGTCCGACTAGCCACACGCTAACTGCCCCCCTGGGTCGGTTTGCTGGTCATTTGAGTAGTCTTTTGTTCCCCTCTTTGTCCCTCCTTCCGCAGTCCTACTAGCCACACGCGAACGCCCGACCATGGTGGGTGGGGCATCGTGGCCGCACCAGCCACTCACCCAAGACAGCACGGTTGCATTGACAGAGGGAGCGGTTGGGATGGGTGGAGAGAGGCAGAGAGTGGCCGTAGACGCAGCAGAGGAAAAGGGGGCTGCAGATCAGGAGGACGGAGGAAGAGAAAGAGAAGATGGAGAGGAGGAAGAGGAGGAGGAGGAAGCAGAGAAAGGGGAGGAAGGTGAAGAGAAGGAGGAGCGCGTGGGCAACCAGAGTTTTACCAAGGAGGAGGGCGAGGTGGAGGAGGAGAGGAGGGAGGGGAGGGAGGGGCGGGGTGAGACTGAGAGTGGGGAAGGGAGGAATGGAGTGCTGCACTTAGAGGGTAAAACACAAGATGAAGGTAATCTGTCTCCTTCTCCTCCCCCTATTTCTGGCCCTGATTCCACCCACACTGCCGCTGCTGCTGCTGCTGCTTCTCCTGCTCCTACTTCTGCTCTCGCTGCTGCTGCTGCATCTGCTGGTGAAGGTGCCACACCCAGTGCTCTACCTGCTCCCTCCTCTGCTGACTCCGTTCCAACAGACCCTGACAGCGCCACCTCTCTGCCAGCCCACGCCACTCCCTCGCAACAGCCTGCTGCTGCTGAGGCACATTATCGTGGGCATGATCAGGAAGCTGCCAGTAGCAGCAGCAGCAGCAGGGAAGAGGCTTTGAGGCGCCTGCAGCAAGCTTCAGAGGCGGACAGTCGTGGGGGAGGTAGCATTATGGGGGGGAGTGGAGAGGGAGGTAGTAGCGGTAGTGGTGGCAGTGGTGGCAGTGGTGGCAGTGGTGGCAGTGGTGGCAGTGGTGGCAGTGACGGGGAAGCGCGGAAGTGTGTGGCTGTGGATAAACCGACTGCTGGGTCCTTCCTTGTTGCTTCAGAGGACCTCATCAGCTCTCCTGTACGTCTGCTCCCCTCTGCGCATCCCATGCGAACATGCATTTGTTTTTCAAACCTGTCAAAAAGAAAAGGATATCAAAGGGAAGAACAAACAAACAAGGAAACCAAATCCCTTGTTAGCAGAAGAGGATGCCAACTCCCTGGGCTAACTGACAGGACTTTTGAGGCGCCTCAAAAGTCGTCCTTGTTAGCCAGCTCCCTGGACAAACTGACGCATTTTTTCCAAGGATTTTTCACTCGTGTCGGCAGCACCTGCCAGTATGTGTGTGTTCCATTCTCGTCCCCAGCTTTTGTTGTTCTCTCAAGTCTCAAGTTTGAGCATGCACTTGTGCTCATGCTTTCCCTCAACGCTCCTCAACCGCCCGCTTAATGAGGCGCCTCAAAACCCCCTTCGTCTGTATCCCACCCACACCCCGCCCAACCCCCCTTCCCCCCTCCCTCTCCGCCTTACCCGTGCAGATGTTCAAGTGCACAGTCATGCCCATGCTCTCTCTCAACAACTCCGACCCCATAAGCCTTGTCCTCAACCGCCCGCTCTTGGAGGCACCTCAACACTTCCCTTCCTTCCCTCCCCTCCCTCTCCCTCTCGCGGTGCAGATGTTTGAGCGTACGGTTATGCTCATGCTCTCTCTCAACAACTCTGGCCCTGCCGGCCTTGTCCTCAACCGCCCGCTCTTTGAGGCACCTCAACACTCCCCTTCCTTCCCTCCCTCTCCTTCTATCCCTTCTTTCTGTGCAGATGTTTGAGCGCACAGTTGTGCTCATGCTCTCTCTCAACGACTCCAGCCCCATCGGCCTTGTCCTCAACCGCCCGCTGTATGAGCCAGCTCAGATTTCCCCACCTTCCCCTTCCCCCCTTCAACCCCCCTCCCCCTCTTCCTCCCCATGCAGATGTTTGAGCGCACAGTCGTGCTAATGCTCTCTCTCAACGACTCCGGTCCCATTGGCCTCGTCCTCAACCGCCCACTCTCCTGGAAATTCGTCTCCGGCGTGCAAGACTGGCTGCTCTCGCGCGTCTCCTCCGCACCGCTCTCCCTCGGCGGCCCTGTAATCAACCCCACAAGCGCCTTCGCAGCCCTCACCCGCCGCTCTTCCTTTGCGGGGTTTCAAGAGGTGCTTCGGGGGGTTTATTGGGGGACTATGGCGCCGCTTGTGCGTGCCGTGGGATTGATTGACGCCGGAATGACGTTCCCGGAAGAGTTTTGGTTCTTTCTGGGAGTGTCGAGCTGGGGGCCGAAGCAGTTGGAGGACGAGATTAAGAACGGGTGGTGGTATGTAGCGGATTGTGAGCCGGAAATGATCCGATGGCCGACTGAGTGGTCGGAGGAAGTGGAAGCGAGATCGGGGGTTAGTGGTGGAGGTAAGGCGTCTGATAAAGGTGGGACGGCGGGCGTGTTTAAGAAGGCGAAAGATGTGAATGAACGAATGTGGATTCGGGTTTTGGAAGCGATGGGAGGGAGATATAGGGAGATTGCAAGGGCGCAAGAGGGGAATGGAGATCAATAGGGTACTATCTGGATTGAAGACAAGTAGTCAAATTTGTTAACATCATTTTGCTTCGAAATGAAACTTCGACCTACTTAGCATGTATTCTTCAGTTCGTCACTTTTGCACAGGATCGAGCTTTTGTCTAATGTCGGGGAAATGTTGGGGCGCACATTTCTCTCTTACATGCATGAACCGACAACGGCATGGCACATTACAACCTCCACCAGCCGCATTCCTAGTTGTCTCAGTCAGTCAGTCAGTCAGTCAGTCAGTCGCAACTAGTCACCGTCACGCTCGCATGCGCCGTCTCTTCTTTCCTCCCCTCCACCAGTAGGAATCCTTATTTTAGAAGCCCCGTCGCCGAATTGCGTCTTCCGATCGCCTCTACCGATCGCGTCGCCCAATTCCGTCGCCGAATTTCGTCGCACGATTCCGTCGCCCGATCCCAACCAGTCCCCCGAGCCTCGGTCTCGTCGCGGGATCGCATCTCTTGTACCGCGAGGCCGAGCGCGGCAGGCAGTTGCATCTGTCCGTTGAGGCATACAGACAGACCGTCACGCAGTTGCACGCGTTCTTCCCTAAGCGCGCTCCGGCCCTGGGCCGCAAAGCCGCAGGCCCGCTCCCCGCCCCTTTCGGCGCGCCAGCCCTCGGAAGGCTGTGAATCCGAAAGAATCACGGGTGGGGGGCGGGGCTAGGGGGGCGAGTCACAGCACTGAGAATCTGAAGTCTTATTTCGAGTACAAGTGTCGTGATGGGCCGGGGCCGGGAGGTTCTCTCATCGCTTCTACGCCGACGGGTGGGTGGCAGCAGAAGCAGAAGAGGCGGCAGCAGCAGCAGCAGCGGCGGCAGCGGCGGCAGCGGCAGCGGCAGCGGCAGCGGCAGCGGCAGCGGCAGCGGCAGCAATCGTCTATTCCAGTGCCATGGCCTTCACACTCTCGCAAATTCTACACACCCTCCTCCCCTCCCTCACATACATACAGAGCGGCTTTCCTCCAGCCCCACAATCCCCATCATTCCCACACTAGCCCCCTCACTAGTCCCCTCTACCTCTGTGATTTCCTCACAAGGCCACACAGCCCCCATCCTTCACTCATTCGCCTCATACGCTTTCCTTGCTTCCTTTCCTTCTCTTTCCTCCCTTGAGTCACGCTCCATTCCCGCCTCTCACGCTACCTCCCCTCCGCCTGGTTTCTGGATTCTTCCCGGACGCTGCCGCACACACATGGGCTTCGGGCACGGGCACGGGCATGGGCATGGGCACGGGCACGGGCATGGGCATGGGCATGGGCATGGGCATGTGCACGGTGGGAGAAACGCGGGGGAAGAGGGTAAAACCGGAGAAGCAGGAGGGGGAGGCGGAGGGGGAGGGGGAGGGCGCAAGGAGGCGGAGGCAATTACTCGCGTGGGGTTCTGGGCGGACGTGGGGCTAACGGGGATCAAGGGCGTGGCGGGATGGCTGTCTGGTAGCGCTGCAATCATTGCTGATGCCGCCCACTCCGTGTCCGACGTGGTAAGGGCGAGCTGCTTTTGAGTCAACTCAAAACCGGTATCAAGGGCTTGGCTGGATGGCTGTCTGGTAGCGCTGCAATCATTGCTGATGCCGCCCACTCCGTGTCTGATGTGGTAAGGGCGAGAATGGCATGGGGGCAGAGCATGGGTGGATGGTAAGTGTGGGTGGATGATATGCTGCACGGGATCAAGGGCGTGGCTGGGTGGATGTCTGGTAACGCTGCAATCATTGCTGATGCTGCTCACTCCGTGTCTGATGTGGTAAGGGTCAGATTGGCATGGTGCATGGGGGCATGCGTGGTATGGGGGGCATGGTATGGGGTTCATGGTATGGGGGCATGGTATGGGGGCCATGGTGTGGGGGGCATGGTATTGGTATATGACACGGATTTGATCCATGGATGCATGACATGGGTGTGTAGCATCCATCCCTACCCATCCCTACCCATCCCTACCCATCCCTGCCATGGCACCATCAGGTGCTCAGCTGGGCAACCCTCTGGTCCGTGCAGGCAGCCTCTGTTCCCCGCGATGCCAACCACCCCTATGGTGAGACGATACTGAAGGTGCCTCTTCTCCCTTCCCCTTTCCTCCCCTTCCCTCTCATCCCTCCCCCTCTTCCCTCTTAAGCCACCCCCCTATGGTCGCACAATGCACGCTCACAAGTACGCCCCGATCTCGTCCCTTCCGTCCTCTCCTCCTTCCACTTCTCTTCTCTTCCTTTTCTCGTTCATTCCCTTCCCTGTTCATTCCCTTCCCTGTTCATTCGCGCATTCACTTGCCTTTCCTTCCCCCTCCTCTCCCCCATTTCATCCCGGCTCCTCTTCCAATTTTTGACAACCCTCTTCCTCCCTCCTCTCCTCTCCCCTCCGTCTCTTCTCCACTGCAGGCCACGGCAAGTTTGAGACAGTGGGGGCGCTAGGCGTGTCACTTCTCCTGATCGGCACGGGAGGCGGCATGGCATGGCACGCGCTGCACCTGCTGCAGGACTTCCTCCCCGTCTCCCTCGACCTGCATCATCTGCTCACATCTGACGCTGCTACTGTTGGGGGTGCTGCCGGTACAGCAGCTGCTGCTGGCGATGCGGCAGGCTTGGCAGGAGCAGCAGGAGGAGGAGGAGGAGACGCAGGAGGAGTAGGAGGAGGGGGAGGAGCAGGGGCAATGGGGCATGGGCATGCGCATGGAATTCTGGGGCATGTGGCAGGAGGGCAAGAGTACATGCCGTTGGCTCTTGCGGCAGCAGTGGCATCCATAGGGCTCAAAGAGAGGTCAGTCTGTGTGGGGTTCTCTGTTTGAGACGTCTCAAAACAAAGAGTACATGCCGTTGGTGCCAGCAGCAGCAGCAGCAGCAGCAGCAGCAGCAGTGGCATCCATAGGGCTCAAAGAGAGGTCAGTCTGTGTGGGGTTCTCTGTTTGAGACGTCTCAAAACAAAGAGTACATGCCGTTGGTGCCAGCAGCAGCAGCAGCAGTGGCATCCATAGGGCTCAAGGAGAGGTCAGTCTGTGTGTGCCCTTGCTCTGTGATTCAGAACGGCAGGCTGTTATCGGGCTACCAAGTGGGTGGGGGAGTGCAATAACTGGGTCCAATCCTGTATGTATCAGCTGTAATACATACACCATACAATAACCACCTGATGCACCCAGCCAGCTGATTTTTCTTTTCCAATCCACCTGTTTTTTTTTTTTCTTTCCCACCCCACCATCCCCCCTCTCATGCCGGCCTGTACTGGGCGACCAAGTGGGTGGCAGATCGCCATGCGTGCCAGCCCTTTACCTCCCCACTTTCCCCTCACCACTTCCCCTCTCATGCCAGCCCGTATTGGCCCACCAAGTGGGTGGCAGATCATCACGACAACCACCTGATGCACCCAACTCCTTTCCGTTCCATCACTCCCCCTACCTCCCTGCTTCCCTCTCCACCGTTCCACCCCCATTTCCCCGCGCTTGGGCCTATTTCAGCCTGTACTGGGCGACCAAGTGGGTGGCGGATCGCTACGACAACCATCTCATGCGCGCGACTTCAGCTCCTTCACACCCCCACCCCCAATCTCCCACCCCTTCTTCCTTGGGCCTATCCCAGCCTGTACTGGGCCACCAAGTGGGTGGCGGATCGCTACGACAACCATCTCATGCGCGCCAATGCATGGCACCACCGCAGCGACTCCGTCTCTTCCTTTGCTGCGCTGCTGGGCGTGGGTGAGTGAGTGAAGGGGAGTGAGAGTGCGTGGCCTCGCTTGCTGATCTACTGGGCGTCAGTGGATGGAGGGGAGGGGGTGGTGGGGAGGGAGTGGTGGGGAGGGAGTGGGGTGAGTGGGTGAGTGAGTGAAGGGGAGAGAGAGTGTGTGGCCTCGCTTGCTGATCTACTGGGCGTCAGTGGGTGGAGGGGAGGGAGTGCTGGAGGGAATGTGGGTGAGTGGGTGGGTGAGTGAGTGGGTGGGTGAGTGGGTGAGTGGGTGGGTGAGTGAGTGAGTGGGTGGGTGAGTGGGTGGGTGGGTGGGTGAGTGAGTGAGTGGGTGGGTGAGTGGGTGAGTGGGTGGGTGAGTGAGTGAGTGGGTGGGTGAGTGGGTGAGTGGGTGGGTGAGTGGGTGAGTGGGTGGGTGAGTGGGTGAGTGGGTGGGTGAGTGAGTGAGTGGGTGGGTGAGTGGGTGAGTGGGTGGGTGAGTGGGTGAGTGGGTGGGTGAGTGGGTGAGTGGGTGGGTGAGTGGGTGAGTGGGTGGGTGAGTGAGTGAGTGGGTGGGTGAGTGGGTGAGTGGGTGGGTGAGTGGGTGAGTGGGTGGGTGAGTGGGTGAGTGGGTGGGTGAGTGGGTGAGTGGGTGGGTGAGTCAGTGTGTGGGTGAGAGTTGGTGAGTGGGCGAGTGGGAGATAGAAAGTGGGAGTGAGGGGGGGTGAGTCTTTGGTGTTTGGAACAAAATCCATGACCCTTCTCACCCATATCCTCCCTCACCCGTGTCCCCCCTTCATTGTACACATGGCAGGAGGAGCAATGGCTGGCGTGCCGATTCTCGACCCCCTCGCAGCTCTTTTTGTGGCTGCACTCATCACCAAAGCAGGCGGCAGCATTGCGTACCAGAGGTGGGAGGCAGAGAGACAAAGGTAGAGAGAGGGACAGGCGTTGTTGCTACTGCATCACCTGCTCATTGTTCTCGACCCCCTCGCAGCTCTTTTTGTGGCTGCTCTCATCACTGAAGCAGGCAGCAGCATTGCATACCAAAGGTGGGGGGAGTGGGAAGGGGAAGAGAGGGGGGGATTGTTTTAGGGGCCACAGGAAACGATTTTTGAGGCAGCTAAAGAGAACCGAGCTCTTTTCATGGCTGGGCTCATCACCAAAGCAGGCGGCAGCATTGCATACCAGAGGTGGAGAGGAGGGAGAGAGCAGAGAATAGTTTTCCCTTAGACGTCTCAAGCAACGACTCTTGAATGCTGATGAGTTCAACAACAACAACAACAACAACAACCACAACGACAACCACAACCACAACGACAACGACAACGACAACGACAACGACAACGACAACGACAACGACAAGGACAAGGACAAGGACAAGGACAAGGACAAGGACAAGGACAAGGACAAGGACAAGGACAGGGACAGGGACAGGGACGGGACAGGGACGGGCTGCACTGACTTATAAATCCTGGCTCTTCATGTTGAGGGTTGGCTGATCACCAGAGCGCAGGCGGCAGCATTGTTTAACAACCAATCCTCTGCCATTCACCTGTTTCCTTCCCCCCCCTTTTGCTTCCCTTCCCGTTCCTCCTGTCATCATGTCATCATGCAACAATCAGCATTCAAGACCTTGTGGATGTGGGGGTTTCTGAGAAGGTTCTTGAGCCCATCAGAGCACAGATCATTGCGTCTCCTGGAGTGCTGGTGCGTCTACACTTCTTGGAACTGAGTTGTGCTGTGCTGTGCTGTGCTGTGCTGTGCTGTGCTGTGCTGAACTGTTCTTTTTCTTGTCTTATTTTCCTTATCCACGTTTTTAGACGCCTGAAAAAAGAACCAGTATGTTCCACGTTTTTCTGCATATCGCTCCCCACCTTCTAACTAACCTCCCCCCAACCCCACCCCCACCCCTACCCCCACCCCCACCTCCGTTTACCTCTTTTTTCTTCACAAAGCCGCATGAGAGTTTAGCTCGTTTTTACACGTTTCGGACTTCCTCCCTGTTCCATCAAATTCATCTCGCACCTGTCCCACTCTACCCCGCCTTTTCTCCTCCCCTACTTCCCTACTCCCCTTCCCCTTTTGCCATTCCCCCACACCTCCACCTTCCCCCCCAGGGCTGTCACAACCTGAGGGGCAGGCGCATGGGGCCATGGCTGCATGTGGACGCGCACATAGAGGTGGGGGGGAGGGGGACGGAGAGGGGGGGGGAAGCGGGATTTAATGGGGAATTTGGGAAGGGGGGATTGGGGAAGGGAGATTGGGAAAGGGAGGAAAGGAGCAGGCGGATGGGGCCATGGCTGCATGTGGATGCGCACATAGAGGTGTTGGGGAGGGGAAAGGGGCGCACGAGGAGGTGGGGGATGGGGAAAAGGGGCGCACGTAGAGGTGGGGGATGGGGAAAAGGGGCGCACATAGCAGAGTCGACTTTCAAATTAATGCAAAAGCTCTCCATTCCGTTCTCTTTCCTCCACTCCCCCCGCACTCTTCTCTCACTCTTCCCCCTCACTCTACTCCCTCACTTTTCCCTCACTCTTCCCCCATCACTCTCCTGCCCTCCATTCTTCTCCCGCCCCTTCCTTGCAGGTGGACCCATCGCTCACAGTGAGAGCAGCGCACGACATAGCACTGGCTGCACGGGACCATCTGCAGCACCACTTCCCCTCCATCACAGAAGCCCTCTTCCACATAGGTGTGTGCGTGCGTGCATACCAGATGCACAAAAATCCCCTCGCGCACTCACCAGCACTTAACCAGCACTTGACCACAGCGCCACTTCCCCTCCATCACCAAAGCTTTCTTTCTTCCACATAGGTCAGCGCCACATGCACTGCAATCACCTCCTCTTTTGAGACGTCTCAAAACATGCAATCTTCGTACGGTGCAACGGTTGGAGTCTTCACATGTCACACACACTTCCCCTCCATCACCGAAGCTCTCTTTCTTCCACTTAGGTCAGCGCCACACCACATGCACTCGCCTCTTTTGCGACGTCTCAGAACATGTCGCATGCTGAGAACCTCTACAAGTGACCATGCATAGCACCACTTCCCCTCCATAACCAATAACCACACAAGCACAGCACCATTTCTCTCTCTTTTTTTTTTTTTTTTTACTCTAAAGTGCCTCACTATCACTTTTGACGTTCGGGTGATCTCACTAGCGCTGTTGAGAGTTCTCAGAAGTAGCACTTCCCATCCGTATCTGGTACACTCTGCATCCCCACACCCCACTCTCCACTCCCACTCCCATTCCCCTCCCCTTCCCGACCCTCCCCTCTCCATCCCCTCCCCTCTCCTTCTCCCCTTTCCCCGACCAGACCCAGCAGACGGCAGGGCGCCATCCCCTCTGCATCCCACCTGCCCCCTTAACCCGCAAGCCTGGGTCCAAGGGCAGTTAAATCCCACCGCACCGCCTTCTCCTGCTGCTACTTCTGCTGACGGTTCTGCTGACACTGTCCCCCACAAGGAGCAGTCTCAGGACCAAGACAGTGCTGGGCCGTCGTTGCACCGTCCATCACCCTCCCACTGACATGTCACCTTGTTAAGGTTAATTGCTTCTTGAGAAGATTCTCGCCCACTTACCGTAACACACAGCTAAAGGCTCAAGTGAGATTCCCAATTTTGAGAGGTTTCAATCCAAATCCCTCCAGTCATCATGGTTTATTCGATTTGCTTTGTGATGTGGAGCGCTGTGGCTGCGGGTCCGTCCATTCATCTGTGGTGGTGCGTGCGAACGTGCACGAAAGTTACTTTGGTTCCTCATGGGACAATTAATTGGGGCTTCTACCTTGTGAATTAATGGTCAGCATATCACTCAGTAGAATTCCACTGTTTAAAGCGCTCGGTGCAATCAGAAATCTGAGAAGGCCATTTATGCCACCACATTTCTAGGACACCGCTACAAATGACACATAATAATAGTATTGCTGAAATCAGCTCTGTAAGAGAACGGTTGTCACCAAATACGGGAGAATTGTTTATGGTGTAGGTAGTGTACGAGGCACGAGTAATGCGTACGGTAGATAGCAGGGATGTTGACGCGAAGTTGGTGAGGAGTTCGTTGGGGAGAACTCAGGACTCAGAAGTCCGTTCGAGGGAGGGAACTGCGGTAACCAATCAGCACTGAGAATACAAAACCAGGGGTCGCACATTGGAAAATGTGCGCCTCGGGGCAGGGACCTCAAAGTTGAGAGAGCAGCGTGGATGGAATCTGTCCCTGCCATTCTCTCTTGTTTGCTTGATGGTGGAATATTTTTACCTCGGCCTTTGTGCTTGGTGACTAGTGGCCCCAAGGGCAGCCAAGGCGTTCTGGTAGAGTGCGAATACTCGTTCATAAGGTACGGTAGAAAGGGAAGAATGGACGAACACCGGTTGCGCTTGAGTCAGAGTTTTGGCCGTCGCCGCGGCGAGGAGGAGCTGCCATGGCGCGGCGGATCGAGGGAAATCTTGTGTGCGGATGATCGGATCCAGCCGCTGGCCGGGCCGAAAGCAGCAGGCGATCGTAGCGCTGGGTATGACAGCAGAAGATTCGATCGAGGAACGAGCAGGACGAATAACTCGCCTTGGGATCTGCGAGGAGCCCGATCTGGTCGGCAGGACCTCTGTGGACGGCAGCAGCCTGTCCGGGCTGCGCGGCGGCAGGGGGAAGACGGTGGTGGCGGCGACCGAAACGGACCCACGGGATCTCAACGCTCGCTGGATCTAGACAGACGCGACGGCGACGAGCCGCGCCGCGGAGTGATGGGACAGCGCCGATCGCCAGATCTGATTCTTGAGACGTCTCAGAAGCGCCTATCGCCGCCAGATCCGCGTCCGGAGGTGGAGTACGAGAACGGGAATTACTGCTTAGACGCGGTGGAATTGCGCCGTCTGGCGGCAGATCTGCGGAAGGATGTCGAGAGAGCGCGTGATGGGCTTATCATGGGACCGCCTCGCTCGAACGATCCGCGTCCGGAGACGGAGAGTGGGCGGTGGAGCAAGTCGTGCCACGGAACTACGGCAACTCTGGTGCAAGCCAAGCAGGAATTGCAATTTCTACCCCTCAAGGTGCTCCGAGTCGGGGGAAGTGCGACAAGTCTGGTGCAAGCCAAGCAGGAATCACAATTTCTACCCATCAAGGAGCTCCGAGTCGGGTTCAGATGGTCCGTAGACCTGGCGAGGGAATTGCCGTTGACTCGGAGGGGAAATCGGTACATAGTGGTCATGATGGAACACGTCAGCAAGTGGCTGGAGGTGCGTGCACTGCCCAGCAAGAGCTCTAAACTCATAGCAGAGGCGTTCCAAGAACAGGTGCTGTGCCAGTTCGGGCCCTGTGCGGAGGTACTCACAAATCAAGGGAGCGAGTTCCAAGGGGAATTGAAGAAGTTGCTGGACCAAGTCGAAATATCCTGCAGGAGAACCACCTCGAGGTATCTCCCGCAGAGTGATGGGCTGACGGAGAGGATGGTGCAAAGCTTAACGCGGGGCCTCCGGGTGTATGCCAAGCAGCGGACGTGTGATTGGGACGAGGACTTACACTGGGTGGCTGCGGGGTATAGGTTCGGCAAGCAAGTAGCGCTGAAGGACCAATCGCCCTACAGCCTGCTGTACGGCCGGGAACCCGTGTTACCAGAGGGGTCCCCGCCAGTTCTGACAGACACTGTGACGGCAGGGAGCGCGGAGAACTGGGAGGCATTAGCAGGACTGCGAGCCAAGTACCTCAAGGGGACTCTTTCAGGAGCGCAGGATAATGTGGATACAGCACAGCTGCGGGATGCCGAGAGGTGTGTGCAGCGGTTGAGTAGGGGAGGGGGGACAGGGAAGGACTCAAGGGTGCAGGCAGGCCATGAAGTGTATCTACGCAGAGCCAAACAGGATACACCTGGTGCAGGGCTCAGCACGCGGCGATGGCGAGTGAAAGAGATGAGGGAGTCAGTAGTGCTGGTCCTGGAGAGAGAAGTCTGAGGCTGTTCGCAGAGCGAGAGCAATGAGCGCAATTAACATAGGTCAGAGACTCAGGGAGTCAAGATGCTGGCTCTGGAGAACGAGCAGGGTGGGGTGATGATGGGTCAACGGACCAACACGGCGGCATTGAGGAAAGTGAAGTCTCAGTATGAAGCCTAAGCAAGTGGGTGTGACTGCGGCAGCAAGGGATGAATCATGAAGGTAGCAACCGAGGAGACTGGGAGTAAAGGAAGACAACGAGAAGAGCTGCAACTGTGGAGGAGGTTGTGGAAAGCTGTCAACAAAAAGATGATGTTGTGGTGGTAAATATGCTAGTGACTGCAGGATTGTTGAGGCGTATGCACTGAGTGTTTGAAAACATGAAGTTTGACAGAGTAATTAACTTGTGGATAGGGTTATGGAAAAAGAAACAAACAATTACGGTGTGAATGCAAGGAAGCACATCACTCACAGGTTGGATCAACATTAATGTGCAAAGCACACATATTGAATCAAACTATTTAACTAGTTGCGGTCCAGCAAAGCAAGAGCATGGATGAGGGGAGGTATGAGGCTGCATACAGCAGCAACCACAGCCTACAAGCAGCAGCACATCTAATAAAATCTCTGCACAACAGCGTTCATGATTGCAGCAGCCTCATGGCTCCTCCCAGCCAAGAAACCCAGAACAAGAGGATCAACAAGTGACTGGAATCTGGTGAAGTTTGGTGAAGTCCACAATACAATAGCAGGAAGAGATGTGTGTAGGAGAGTGGGATAGTAGCAGCGGTGATGATGCCACTGATGCACTGTCTGCCGATGCAAGGAGAGGCTCTCTCGCTGACAAGGCCCTCTCTTTGTTAGCAGAGTGCCGAGTGGGTTCTTTATCTCAAGAAGGGGACGAAGAGGTACTCGAGGTAGAATAGCTGTGTGGAGGGGCATTGTGGGGGGAAAAGAGAGGAGGGATAATTGAGTTATATGAAGAGCGTTGTGGGGGGCATTGTGGGGGGCATTGTGGGGGGCATTGTGGGGGGCATTGTGGAGGGAAGGAGAGCGTTCTTCATCTCAGGAAAGGGATGAAGAGATACTCGAGGTAGAATAGCTGTGTTGAGGGGGGTTGTGGGGGGAAGGAGAGGGGGAGTGAATGAGTTTCAAGAGAATGGGAGTCAAGAGTGGGAGTAGAGAGTAGGAGTAGAGAGTAGGAGTAGAGAGTAGGAGTAGAGAGTAGGAGTAGAGAGTAGGAGTAGAGAGTAGGAGTAGAGAGTAGGAGTAGAGAGTGGGAGTAGAGAGTAGGAGTAGAGAGTAGGAGTAGAGAGTAGGAGTAGAGAGTAGGAGTAGAGAGTGGGAGTAGAGAGTAGGAGTAGAGAGTGGGAGTAGAGAGTATGAGTAGAGAGTATGAGTAGAGAGTGGGAGCAGAGGAAGGCCAGATGTTCGGGAGTGAGAGAGGGGAGCAAGTGGTAGTTGAGAAGGGTTTGGTGGAGAGGAGATAGAGGAAGGATGGTGGTAGCGGTTGAGCAACAGGCGTCATTGAGGAAAGGAGATAAGGAAATGGAGAAGGTGGAGAGAGTGCGAGTTTAAAATTGGAGAAGAGGAAGACGAGAGGGGGATAAATGCGGAGTCATTCATTCATACACCCATGCACCCACACATCCATGCATCCATGCATGCATGCATGCAACCATACAGCCATGCCACCACCGCACTGTCCATGTGAACATGTACACATCCGTGATGTCCTGCTGGCTGGACAGCCCCATATAACCCTTGACATGCATGCAATCACACATCCATAATTCAACGCAGCCAAACAGCCATGCAGCCATCCCACCTTCCATATGAACATGTACACATCCGTGATGTCCTGCTGGCTTGACAGGTCTGCTGATGATGCCACGCGCCACAGAGCTGTGGCTGCACCCACATGGGTCACCACCTGTCGGCACACAGGGAGGGGGAGAGCGCAAGGTGAGAGGAGAGCGCAAGGTGAGAGGAGAGCGCAAGGTGAGAGGAGAGCGCAAGGTGAGAGGAGAGCGCAAGGTGAGAGGAGAGCGCAAGGTGAGAGGAGAGCGCAAGGTGAGAGGAGAGCGCAAGGTGAGAGGAGAGCGCAAGGTGAGAAGGCGCCACAAATCTGTTCAACCATTTGTAGACAAGCATCCTCCAAAAAGAAACAACACACAAAAAATAGAACTGGAAACAGAAATATGTACCTACAACAACACAAGAGCAGGGGAATTGAAGAGTGAGAGAATGTATCATACAGAGAGGATCTTAGACCAGAGCATGCAACAGGTAAGAGCAAGAGGGAGAGGCGAGGGAAAGCATGCAGTTGGAGGGATGGAAGTTGAGGGAAAGAGAATGGCATACGGAGAGGATCTTGCACCAGAGCATGGTTGATGTAAGAGGGCGAGGGGATGAATGCGAGGAAAGGCATAGAGTCGGGAGGAAAGAAGAGGAGGAGGGGGGGAGTAGGTAACGTACAGAGAGGATCTTGGACCAGAGCATGGATGAGGTGAGGCCCATGATGGTGGCGGCAGCATATGATGCGAGCAGGATGGACACACAGAACCAGTACACCTGCCATGGACGGAACGGGCGACGATGGGGATT